GGGGGGAGAGGGGCTTCAGCCCGAAAGACCCCCCGTAAATCCGCATGTGGTTCTAGTAAGAATGCCCTTTAGTGTGGCAGACTATATTAACACTCAATAAAAACATGTATTTATATCTTTACTATTTTGAAAAATTAAAAAATAAATTTGGCAGATTACTATAGTATAATTACTATATTAAAACAAATCGCACTGACCGACGTAGGAAAGTGGTGGTAAATATTTCTTTAAGGTGAAACTAACCTGTTTTTCACACCTCAAAAAACTCATAAATACGAATTTTTAGAGCAGTAAAAAAATAAAATTTGCTGAATATTTCCACAAATGATTTTTAAAAAAAATCACAAAAATGTGATAAGTTCAAGACGACTTCACAGATTCATAAACTACACTAATTAACACAGACAGATCTACGAGTGATACAAAGGGGTTTTCGGGCTGAACCCCCCTCCCTAAATGGAAAAATATTTTTATATATATGTAAACATATAAAAAAATAAATTTATATATATGTTTTATAGAAAAAAATAATGAAAACTATCTCTTAAAGTATTATTGTTCCTGTAATTATATTTAGGGCTTCAAGAACCACTTAAACACAATTTCATATAGGTAGTTATATAGAAAAAAAAAGTTTATGAATTATTTATTGAATTCTATCGTGTAATAGCAATAAAATCTAAAAGTTGTTGATATACGAGTAGATTGGAAGAGCAATAATTTAGCTTTCCAACATGGTTGTCTTGTTATGACCTTGAATTTTAACACAATTCTGAGGATTTATAAATGCTTTAGAAACTTTATTATAAACACTCAGTCCCATAAATTTATATATATTTTTTCATTTATATTAATCTTCTTATTTAACCTCTAAAACCTTTTTCATTTACGAAAATTCTCAGAAATGGGGCGTTTTCAATCTGGAGGATGGTAAACCTTCTCTATTTAATGAAGTACTAAAAAATCAGGAACACACATTTGCTTTCCACTTAAACCGTAAGATAATTTGACCACAAAATCGAGATAAGAGGTGACCTAAAAAATGATTGGCTCTTTTGGAGTCACCTCCACCCCAATAATTTTGTAGACCACCTTTTTTTTTTTTTTTTCTTGATCAAATTATCTTATGATTCAAGTGGAAAACAGATGGCAATTCATGAGTTTTTAGTGACTTGTTAAATTAATTAATTTAATAAAAAAACACCACATTTTTGGAAATTTTAGTAAATAAAAAATGCTGTACGAAGTTTTAGCAGAATATTAATAATTTTATACAAAGGCACTAGCGGATCCAGGATTTAATTTTATGGGGGGGCTTCAGCCCGAAAGCTTTTTTTTAAAAAAAATAACGATAATTACTTAGGAAAAAAAGAAAGAAACTAACTATCTGTATGAAATGGTGTTTAAGTGATTCCTAAAGTCCTTTTAAATGTAATTACACGAACAATAATACTTTAAGAGATAATTTTTTAATATTTTTTCCATAAAACATGGTTATATTTTACCATTTTGGGTGAGGGGGAGGGGCTTCAGCCCAAAGCTGCCCCCCCGTAGATCCGCCCGTGTACAAAAGAGTCTGTAAATTTGAGCACATTTAATTTGATCAGTAATATATTTCTAACTATACAAAAAAAAAAAGAAACAAATGTCAATTTAATATATAATGGTACATTATAACCTTGAAATCTGCACACAGAAAAGGCCTTTAAATAATAAAAAAATCTGATGCGCTGCGCGTATCACATAACTTTCACTTATTACCCTGCTTCAAGTATAAATACCTATTTTCATATAAGCCAAGAGAAAGTAAAGATTATAGACAGTACATGTTATTTAAAATAATTAATTACCTTATGTTTTCCTCACCGCCTAATGTATTAAATATGTCGTCGTATTATTGCAAAAAGTCACTTAGTGGATTTTGATATAGGTAAATTATTTTTGAAATAGATAAAAGCAAAGTTATGGAACAAGAGAGAATATTTTCCTTTATTATACAGTGGCTTAACAATACAGTGCGGCTATATGGTGCCAACTTTTGATTGGTTGGCCATCTTGGGCCGTGTACCTTGCTATCTGCTTGCTCTATAGGCCCCTCAAAACTGTTATATTTTCATATTTTATTTGCAGTATTTTAGTTTAGAAGTTTAATTTTGTTGTTTAAGTGATAGATTTAGTTTATTAATAGGTAGTTTTTAATGAATAGTTATACGTTTTAGTGTTTAAAGTGATAGTTTTGGTTTATATCAATATATTTTAGAAGAAGTTAAATAGAAAAAACAAAATATTGTTCTTTGATATAAGTGATCCATGTGCTTCATTCAATTTGCCCAACTTCAATTCTATCTCCACATCATTCTAGTTAATAGTTTGTTACAATAATTACTTTTTAAATTGAAATAACAAAGAGACACACTGTATTATTAAGCCGCTGTATTTATTAAAGACGGTAACGCTATCTGGTAACATGAACTAACACTAATTAACTGTCATTTCTTGTCTTTGTCCAGGTTTAGTAACTCCATTATTTATTTGAGTTTTTAAAAAAAAATTTTAACAGAAAAATAGCGGGAAAAAAACAAATACGACAACAACTTTGCTATATTTTGTAGATTGCTTGCTTAGTTAGAATTAAGGAAATTATCTGATAATGATCCACATTTATTATCCAAAAATCAGAGGAGTAGATAGGGAGGGGCAAACTTAGGTTGGAAATGGAAAAACTAAGGATCTTTTTTTAGGCTTTGGCTGGGAGAAAAAAAGGGAAAATCATTCTAACCCACAGGCAGATCTATGGGGGGGCGGGGAAGCTTTCGGGCTGAATCCCCCCAAAAAATTAAATCCTGGATTCGCAAGTGTACTGACCACTAGGGAAATCTAATTATAATTAGCTAGAGTGGAAACGCTGATCAGGGTTTCCATTTGGGTGAAAAAAATTTCATTTTTAGGAAAATTCCAACGTTGGAAGGGAGAAAAGGGAAACGATTTTTATCAAACAAAGATATTTTTGTTTATTTTTTTAAAAATAATATAAATAAAACGAGTGGTTAAATATAATATTACGTATTATTTTGTATGTATTTGTGCGGGAAGGATTTTTAAGTTCATCCTGAGGAAGAAAAAGGAAAATATGGCTGACCAGAAGCGAAATCGTAAAAAAATATATATATATATTATAAGTATTAAAAAAAAGAAAATTTTCATTCAGAAAAAAATGTTTAAATTGGCTGCATTCTCTTACCATCTTGTTTTGAAGAAATTTACAAATAATATGGCGAAAACGCTGACACTAATACACACACACTATTTTGTGTTGTTTTGTTTTTTTACTCAGGGGGCATAAAGTGTATTCCCGTTCAAAACTCGTATTCGAAATTTTTCACGATCGCAATACTTTCCCTTGCTATATGCTACGTATATAGGTAAATGAAATAGGTAAGAAAAAATACCAGTGCCGGCCAGTGGAGCAACCAAGGCAATTGCACTGACCTGGAGGGGGGCCGGCGTCCACCAACGGATATTTTAAATAAAAATATTAAAGTTTTAATAAACTTTTTAATTAAAAGTGGACCCCGGCCCATTTTTAGGGGTACTTGCTATTTCTAATAAATGAAAAAAAAAGTTACAAAACATATTAAAATAATTAATTTTAGTCTAACAATAAAGGAACTGTGTTAGAAGAATGTTGAATTCAAATATTACATAATATAAAACAGCACTAGCGGATCCAGGATTTAATTTTTTTTTCGGGGGGGGGGGCTTCAGCCAGAAAGATTTTTTTTTCATATACATGTAACGATAATTAATTTGAAAAAAAAAATAAAGAAATTAATCACCTATATGAAATGGTGTTTAAGTGGTTCTTGAAGTCCTATTAAATATAATTACACGAACAAGAATACTTTAAGAGATAGTTTTTAATACCTTTTTCTGTAAAACATGGTTATATTTTACCATTGGAAGGAGGGGGGGAGGGGGAGTTTCAGCCCGAAAGCCCCCCCCGTAGATCCGCCTGCGTAAAACAGCATGAGAAATAAATTAAATTTTTTGGAGGGGGAGAGATGATGTCATTGCTGCTACTGAAAAATACTTATGATAAATTGATATGATACAGAGAAAATTCCTAGTACCGTGATTATTATTAATATTCTCAGTTAGTAATCTGATTATCAACTTGTAATCCTACAAATTGTATTTATTAAAATATTTTAACTATTACAACGAAGTAAATAATTTCTTTTAAAAGGTAGGGTAATTTACAAACAAGATTTGGGGGTGGGTGGCACTAGCGGATACAGAATTTAATTTTGGGGGCTTCAGTCCGGAAGTTTTTTTTTTTCATATATATAACGATAATTACTTTAGAAAAACGGAAAGGTACAAACTACCAATATGAAATGGTGTTTAAATGATTCTGGAAGTCCTATTAAATGTAATTAAACGAGCAATAATGCTTTAAGACATAATTTTTTAATGTTTTTTACCATAAAACATCACCATTACCATTTTGGGGGAGACTTCAGCCCGTAAGCCCCCCTCCCGTAAATCCGCCTGTGGTGGGTGGGCTACATCTTCTTTCAGACACATACCGGTTTGTTCGGGAATCTAGGTGCAGTGTGATCTGGGTGATTTTGAACTCGATCGCCATTTTGGTGTGGAATCAGTACCTTTTAAGTATTTTTTGGATTTTTAAAAAAGATATTTTTCAATAAGAAAATATCCAAAATCTCTTATTTATATTTAAAATCGCACTGTGCTTTCTTTGCAATATAATCGATAGTGTAAACACAACCTGCTCAGCGCAACCTCGCTGCTCCTTGAACTTGTGTTCGGTGTTATCATGTAGGTTACGGTAGTTAGTTTTAATTGTCATTAGCTGTCCTTTTTATCTACCAAATAGGTCGAGGAGCCGTGGTTGAAGTTCTAGGATTGAACAATTATGTAAAGAGAAGCGAAGAACTTTGAGGCGAAACCGCCAGCAGTCTTATCGAACTTGAGGAATGGCAGATGCGGACGATCCTCCAGTCTTGGAAGGATTTATTTGTCCTATTTGCAAGAGTGACCTCGGGGATGCTACCAAGTTACTGTCTCATTTCGAGGATGTACATTCCGAAGAACAAGATTTTATCAAATCCTTCAAGGGTAAATTTAATCTTACCATATTGTTTTTGTTAACAAGTTCCAGTTTTGTGTTATCAGTTGTCAAATATTAGATAGCGTCGATGGTACTATATTTCCTATTATTTTAATAATACCTCATTCAGTATTAGAACATAGCGAAATATCTGTGAACTTTTGGTTTTAGAATCATATAATTGTTGAGTGATCATTTGAACTCAATGAAAGAGTGAAAAAACCCGTTCTAAAAATTTATAAATTTAAGCGATTTTTTTTTCTGTCCACTATTTATTCTTATGTTTAATTTTATGCATGCTGTTGCTTATTATCTAGTATTTAATGTCAGTATTAAATACTCTTACAGTACAGAATTTGTAGATGTTTGATTTATACAGATATCCATTATGACTTTTTTTTCTTCAGCTGTGTAGTGTACCATTTTTTGTATTCCTGCGTAATTCTCACTCTACTTTAATGGGTGGTACAAGATCATGTGATCACACCACAAATGGAATCAAAATAATGACCGAGTGCGACAGAACCGTCTGATAAGGCCCCAATCTCAACTGATAAACATTCATTTGTTTATTCCTTTTGAGGAAGTGGGAATTTGAAAAACAGCAATGTAATTGAATCTAATAGGTTTCCCCGAAGTCGTAAATTGTGATCTTATTGAAGGGAGTTTATGCTGTGAACAATCCTAGGCTGTTCTTCAAATTCCATTTATAGCGTATCATGGGATATTGGCCCAAAGTGGAGTGACATTTATACAGTATTTTATTTATTAACTATTCCATTAATAGTTCTAAAGTACCCTTCCTTTATCAGGATTGTCCACATAATCACACTGTAGATGGAATTCTGAAATCTCTGAGAAGGTCTGAATGTCAAGATGTTTTTTTATTTCTGAGAAATAAAAATACCAATGAGAATTAATAGTGATTATAAAAATTATGGTACTCTATGTCAAATTTCATGGTTAGGCCGAGATCACATTAATCACAGTTTAAATGAAATACCAAAAGTAGCGGGATATGTCGACTAATATTATCTTTTGAGAAGGAGTTAGTCGAGGGTGCGGTCAACCCGACCGCATCCTCGACTAACTCCTCATATTATATCAACGGTCAACCATCTCTACATCATTAATATTATCTTTTGATTACACAAATATTTACAATAGGTTAGGTTGTATAAGGTGGCCTCATAAGTTCTTTTCCTTTTCTTTATTTGTTGTTTAGGGTTGATTTACTGTGTCATATATGAACCATTCTTCCCTATTACCTTCTTCCACCTTTCAGAAAGTCTCTTATACCCTTTTTTCAAAATTGTTGAGATTCACTTGCAAAATATTCATCGAGATGCGTTTTTATTTTGCTTTCGGATTTCTGACATATGTCACTGAGAGAATTTTTTAACAAAATAACAAGTAATAATCAGATGGGGCAAGATCTGGGGAGTACACAGGATGAACACCTCAATCAAACTGTTAAGAGTTTCTGTCTTACGAGCAACACAACATGCGTAATTGGCTGTAAGACCTTCACGTTGAGTAGGTATATAGAGATTCAACTATATTTGTTATTATTTTTTGGGGGGAGGGGAGAGAGGGAGAAAGGAGAAGCAATCAAATGGGAATTTTTGTTTATTCAGGTACATTGGAGATTCCTAATGTTTGATTTTTCATGATTAAAAGCTACACATAAGTATGGCTGCATGTATTAGTAATTTCAATATCTTTCATTATATTTAATTAATGTACGATTAGTGTTTTAACCAGTTTTAATTTCATTGGTAAACAATTTTTTTGACAGGAAATTTTATTTTCTCTATACTACAATGTTTTTGCTCTAAAAGCCATTTTCAAACATTAAAAAAAAAAAAATAGTCATAAACCATTCATTAAAATTTTTTTTAGTTTACTGTGCCATTGTTTAATCAAAATTTTTGTTGTGTTTTAATAGCCTAAGCTACAGCCTGTTAGTGATAAGAGCTATTTTGTGAAGAACAATGATACTGGATAAAAATAGTTTTTGAAGTAACAAAATATGAAATAGTATTTAGTTCATTTGAAAAAATGAAGTGGAATTTAGTAACAAAAATTGACTGAAAAAGAAAAAAAAAAAACCGATAGAATACTAAATTATATTTCAAACCATCCAAAATACCTGATCATCAACACTGTCAAAACTAAATTCATAAAGCAATAGTGTTAACTGACAATCCATTTATTATCCAAACAAAAAAGAAATTTATCAAATTTTAACTGAGAACTTCTGCCCTATCAATTTAATAAACTAGTCATGGTACAGTGGAATACAAAACATAACACAAAATAAAAATAAAAGACAGGAAACACCCGTAACACCAATCGATAATAACATAATAAACAAAAAACCAAAACAACAATTCATATTTTTCAAAGATACAAATATAATAAATGAAAACCAACAAACAAAAAAAATAAATAAATACATATTTTACATTATGACATTCATACCAGAACTTATAAACAAAATTAAGAAAGTTTTCAAAAATTATGATCAACCAGGAATCTAACTTCTTAGACTTTACAACAGCAACAAAGTAAGTAAATACATCACTAAACCAAAAGACAAAATAGATAAAAAATATTAATGTACAAATTAAATTTACAAAGGAGAAACATCTAATAAACTCAAAACTACAATAGCCTAACACATCTCTATCCATAAAAATATAAAAACAGTAACACACAGTTTAAAATTCAACAAACCACAAATAATTGGAATTGAACAAAAAATCCACAATAGAAAACTATTTGGAGCAATCCACATCACAAAAAACAGTGGAATAACAGTTTATTCCAAAACTGACACTAAACTCCTTTGTTTTGACATACCCAGCATACTTGGGCATACTTAAGATGTACAGAGTGCAAAGATGTATTGCTCCAGATATTAACTATGAAAAATTTCCCAAAATGAAAGCATAAATAATATGTGAATATATAACAATGATATGTACTAAAGCATGTTTTCTTTGCAAGCTATTAGATAGGAATTTTTGTTTATTCAGGTATATTTAAGAGTATCCTACTGTTTCATTTTTCATGGTTTATTTTTAAAAACTAAACCTATATAAATGAATATTTATTTATTTATTAATCAACCTTTATATATTATAACTTAAGATGGTAATTATAGTCGGATAATAGGTCATGAACTTGAATGAAGTTATATTATCCGACTATATATATATATATATATTAGTATTTTCTATTATTTTAGTTGTTTTTTTTTTATGCCTAATAGATTTGTACGATAAGGCCAAGAAAAAGATATTGAAGCAAGACACTCCATCATCAACTGGTATAAATAACGTTCGCCAGACATCAGCTGCCAGCTTTGATTATAGCCATGAACCTCAAGAAATTGGTAAGCTGTTAATATTGAGAAAAAAATTAATGGCTCTTAAATTTATTTATTTTTGTAAATTTATGATTAAATTAGATTAGAATGTCTCTTTTAGATGATTTTTCACTGAAACTTGAATAATTCTATTCATTGCTATCTACGGTATCCCAAATTTCTTCTGTTGATATATCTATAGATACTATTTCACTGGCAGTGACCGCTTGCGGTTGACCACTGCTTAAGTGGAATAGAAAGGAACCTATTTCGATGGCACTGCTCGGCAATCCAGGTATGAGGTCATATTTGAGCTGCTCCTATCTTACCGCTCTTGAAGCAGTGGAGCTGTTGGTGGTTGTAGGTTATGTTATCATATCAGAGCATTGTTTTGATGATAACAGTCACCTTGATACGTTTTATTTCCTATTTTTCTTTGAAGTCAGACAAAAGTATATGAAATATTGTTTAAAACTTAAACAGCGCAATTGTAAATTTTTTTTTTTTGTAAGGGTAAAGTGGCAAGATTATTTATTTATTTATTCCACCATTATTTATTTATTTATTTTACAGTGAAATTCAAATATACCTAAATCCAAACGAATTTGAATAAATAAAAGAATAAAAACATAAATATAAAAGAATAAAAAAGCAGTAGTAAGAGACAGAAAGTCCATTTTTATATCTTCCAAGATAGAATGAAATGTTCGAAGGTTATAGCCAGGTTACAACAACCCCATTGATCAGTTTTGGCGAAGTAGCTACCCACCAATGGTTGACAGCGTGAAATAGCGATCAATGCCGTGGGCAGCGCCAGTGAAATAGTACCTCAAGACAGTTTAAAGATATATCTTCATTGGTTTTATATCATAAATATTTTAAAGGACAACGTTTTGGCCTGTACTGGGACCATTTTCAAGTCTGAAATTTTTACTTCAATTAAATGCAATTTTAAAATTATACAACTAATTAAAAACATTGAAATTTATTTAATCTACATACATAAAATCATTATCTGCTCATTATATCAATATTTAGCAAGCTATTATGTTTTACAATATTTTTAGTAATTTATATTTTTTTTAAATAAATATGTGTTATATATATTTATAACTATTCATACTCAAAGTAGATTGGTAAATGAAAGTTGTGTGGTGCACATATTGCACCAGTTTTTTCTTTATCTGCTAATTATAAAGGCCATCTCTATCCTTTCTGAATCATTTTAAAAATTTTATTTTATTTTATATTTATTTCAGTATGCCGATGACATATGTGTCCTATCAGTTAATAATGACCCATCAATTCCATCTCAAATTCTTCAATCACAAGCCTTGAAGAATGGTGTTAAAACTGGAGGATTAAAATAATTTACAATAAATCTTATCAAATCACCTTTACCTTTTATCGTAAATCTATGACTTTCTGTCCTACAGTATCCTTTGATAACACTTCACCTATCCCTATTGAAGAAATCCGATACTTAAGATGTTATCTGGAGAAACAGCTAAACATGTTCTTGGAATCCTCATAAAAAAACTGAAACTACAAGAAACTGCTCAACGTTTCCACTTACTCCAACACTTACTAGACAAACGCTCTAAGCTTCCAATTAGTTACAAAAGATTCATACATATGACTGTAATAAGGCCTATTTGGACTTCCGGAGTTAAGCTTTGGGGCTCCTCTAAACAAACGAATTCCTCTTTTATCCAGTCCTTAAAATCCAAAACCCTTCGTAAATCTTCAATACTCCTTATTTTGTCACAAATAAAATAATCTGTAAAGATCTTAATGTTCCCCTTTACTATTTGAACCAATCCAGATACCTATTCTTCCATAATAAACTTCATAACCATCCAAATCCTCTTGTTTCTAGCCCTCTTCGATTCCTGATAGTCCTCCGAGGTATCTGAAAAGAAGATGACCTCCTGATCTTAGAAATCTTATTAGAGTGCTACCAATGGATAGTTCCTCTACAAGTGTTCTTATGTCATTTTATTTCTATGTGTCATATTTATTAGATGTGTATATGTTTTTATACAGTTGTAAATATCATCATCACGATAAAGGTGTCGTGGAAGGTATCCTGAGGTATGCATCTCCCTTCTGGTTCCGTAACCTCATACTACGACAAAAAAAAAGGCTGGCGTCGACTCAGAGGACAGCTCTGCTTCGGGTCACCAGAGCATACAGGACAACTTCACATGAAGCGGTCCAGGTCCTAGCGGGGGTGGTGCCTCTCGACCTCCTCCTGCTAGAAGAAGTGACGAAATATTTTTATAAGATAGAAGGCTCTACAATACTTTCGGACAATTTGCAGGTGAGGATTATGGATGCGCCTAATAGACAGAAGAAGATACTCCGAGAGGACACAATTGAAGCATGGAACCGGCGCTGGGTAACAACCCCTAAAGGAAGTACATTGAGGAAGTACTTTCCCACAGAACAGTCGAGGCTTCAGGCAAAGTGGGTCCTCCCGGACTACTGGATTTCCCAGTTTCTCACTGGGCATGGAGGATTTAGAGCTAAACTTCACAGTCTGGGCATTGATGTAGATCCTCTATGTCCAATCTGTAGTGTTCCGGAAACTGTAGAGCATGTGGTCACGACCTGCACCGCATTTGAAACGTTAAGAGCGACAATGACAAGAGCCGCGGGAATCTATGTCCTCACTGAAAATGAATTTTCTCAGTTGGTCAGCGAGAAAAATTTCCCGCGGTTTAAGGATTTCATAAATGGATGGAAAACGGCGGTGGGGCCCGCTCACTTCCATATTGATGCCCGCAGAAGAAAAGGACAAGCGCCAGGAAGACCTCCAGATTCTGGAAGCTAGGCCGAAAGAAGAAGAACAGAAGAACTGCACATCATGTTAACAAGTAGTAGTGTGTTATTAAGCATTCATGCCTAATAACACACTATCGCAAACACCCGTATTGCCATAGTGGCATGGGAGGGTGGAAAACATAAATAAATATCATTCATAACATTAAAAAAAATTATATTTATCTGAATTTTTAATATTTATTTTTGCATTAACTTTGGCTAAAGAGAAAAAAGAAATTTCATATTTTTCTTTGTCACTAGGTACTACGCGCAGCCGTAAAAAAAAATTTGATGCTATACGGGACGAGCGAATGCAAAGACTAGCAGTTCCTACAAATCAGTTGATCATTCGGTTAGGAAAGCTTCTTGAAAATATGCCTACTGATCCTCTCAAAAGGAAAGGTATATATAGTTCGTGTTCATTTATGTCTACATTTTTTATTTTTTATTTTTTTAATATTTATGTATCTTAAATCAAACTATTACAATGATTTGGTATTACTTGGATACAATTAGTCTTTTATCATGAAAATATTAACATAGTTCATAATCTCAGAAAAAGATAGCAGGACCGCTGCCGTATGGATAATAATCACGATACTCAGTACTTTTTCCAATTATTAGTATGATATCCGTGAATTATATACAGTATTATATTATTATTATTATTTAGTCCCACCGCTGCGTTTGGATCTTAGATGTTATTATTAGTTTACAAGTTAAAATATTAAGAACCAAGTAAAATAAATAATAATTAAAATTATAAAGATAGAGTAAAAGTAATAATTGGTAATAGGTATTATAAAATAAATATTATAATTTATTTTTGCCTTCCTTTTTGACTGAACACCCCAACTATTCTTCTCTTCAGTAAAAGTAATAATTCAAATCTGTAAATGTGTTTTTTTATTGACTTGTCTGAATTGAAATTATCTTCCAGACTTGGAAAATTTTATGAAAAATTCCAAATTTATAATTCATAATCACTGTTTTTTCACAAAAGTTTGACATAGTTTTGAAAACCCAAGCATACCTATAATACTTCAAAAATATTGTGTTTTGTACACACAAGTTTTTTTATTGATGAACTTTTAATTCATTTTTTATTTTGTTTTTCATTATGTCCTTAAAACTATTTTCTTATGAAACCATTCCTGTGCTAATAAAGGCATTTGAAAAAAGAAATAAAAATAAAACCTATAGGTGCCTCTAGAATCGTTGGAGGATCTTAGGTTTAATATATTTGAAGGGGGTACTGTACTGTAAATGATTGTGCTAGGAGGTGATGTAACTATTGAAGGAAGACGTGATACAGGATTACAGTCATTGAACAGTTGTCATCGCAGAAAATTTATATATATAACTGTTTCATCTTTGCTATTGAAATGGACAATCCAAGATTTCAATTTTAAATTAAATGATGCCCTTACTTTTGGAATTTAAAATAATAATAAAGAAATAAAGTAATTATAAAGAAACAAACTGAAATTGAAACTGAGCGTAATGTTTAAAAGTTGAGAAGGGATATGGTGGGGAGGTGGAGAGTGCAGGAAATAAAACAAAATCTATAACTGAACGCAGTATTGTTTAATTGATTAATTGTCGATTGAAAATAATTGTTCTATTGAATCAAGAATTTCATGTTTCATTTTAATCTTTTATTTATATATATATATATATATATATTTTTTTTTTTTAACTTGATTGAAACTATCAAATATGCAACACAAAATTTGATTAATTGCATCTGATTCGAAAAGATATTTGATCAGCTGTTTAAAAACTGTGTGCAAACAGAATACATAAAAATTCAGGCCTTGGTTATTTATTAATCTTAATGTTAACAGATTTTTATTTGCTGTTTTAAATGTTTTAATTTTGATTGTATGTTTTGGTTGTTGATCAGTTCTCTTTTGTATTGTAATATTTTCCTTTTAGTGCACGAACAGAACATAGTTGCTTGGCTTGATGGAGAAACGGTAGATCGGTGCCCGAACTGCGCCGGGTCGTTCTACCTAGCCAGGCGGAAGCACCACTGCAGGACATGCGGCAGCATAATGTGCAATGATTGCAGTCACTTCATGTCGTTGAACACTGCAAGTCAGTTACCTTTTTAAATGTTATAATAAAAAATTTTAATTTAATAATTTATTTGATCATTTTTAGAATTTGAAATATTTATTATCATTAAGGATATTACGGAACGGTAGAATATTGTATTAGTTTCAACCATTGCTGCTTGTCAGGTTATCTTGAGCATTCTAGTTTCAAACAATGCCTACTTTTGATATGCTTAATTAATGCTATCCTCTTGTTCAAGGCTGTGCCTAGACTATTTTTGTGGCCAAAAGATAAAATTTTGTAAAGCCTCCTTTGTAAGTTTGTAAGAAAATATTGAATTAGGATAAAATCCTGAGGAGTTATGAATGTTTCAGTTAAAAGCAGGCAAAAACATCATAATGGAAAGTGCTGCTGTTGCCATGACGACTCTGTCTAGCTCTTCTGTCCTATATATTATTTCTAAAAGGTGTTTTTTGTCGGTACGCCATAACTTCGACAATTCTTCATCAAATCCAATGATTGACCACTCATTTCGAAGATACTCTTCTCCTTCACTGGCGAATAATAGCCCCATCCCGCCGAAATTTCTTAAAAAAACATTATGAAGGAAAATAATCTTTATTTGCGAATAACTCAAAAAGTATGCATATTTTTCTTAATTGTACACATGGAAATTAGAAAGATTACTAAATTACCTACAAAACAAATAAAAAAATTGTAAAAATCCATTAGAAATATGTAAAATTTAAACTATTTGTATTTATGGAAGATGTAAAGAGTGTTGAAATATTTTTTGAAGGAGGATGAGAGCTGAGATATGTATTTCGCAGCTCGAAAGACCCTCGAATACGAATTTTCGTTGCGATCGAAAAATAAATTTCTTTCCCTACTTATTTGACCTAAGGGTATTTTGGTATTTTTTCGAAAATCATAATAAGTGTTATAACTGCAATATTCTTTCACATATATACACCAAATTTTGGAGGGATATAGGACCTTATAAACTACAGAAAATGACACAAACTGTACCTTCCTAAATAATTTAGAACTCAAGTTATAAAATAAAAACCTGTTAGGAGTTTTTATTTATTTACTCTTTATAGGGGTGTTAGATCAAAAAGTTATTTTACGGTCTTTGTGAGACATATTTTGGAGGAACCTAAAAATAAAAATGGTCAATTTTTTTTTTTAATTAGTAACACTGATTAAAATATAATTATAAAATTTATTTTATTCTTTCACATAAAAGTTATCACCTAATATAAGAAAGAAAATCTGCACATGTGGTGGGGGCCCGTTAGTGATTATAGCCCAGAAAACACTGCCATAATTTTGAAATATTAAACTTTTATTTTTGTATTAATAACAATGTTTGTCGTCAAGCATTCCGAACAGAATCAAAAAGCCAAGATCAATTCTAAACAGTTCAGGATGGAGCTATTATGCTGTTGATGTTGGAGCTGTTCCAAACGGCTCCAGGTGTGTATTAGGTTCCTTGGAACGGCTCCGTTGCTGATTATAGCCCAGAAAACACTGCCATAATTTTGAAATATTAAACTTTTATTTTTGTATTAATAACAATGTTTGTCGTCAAGCATTCCGAACAGAAGTAAAATGCCAAGGTCAATTCTAAACAGTTCAGAATGGAGCAATTATGCTGTTGATGTTGGAGCTGTTCCTCTGTTGGAACGGCTCCAAGTGTGTATTAGGTTCCTTGGAACGGCTCCACCCGTTCCGTACTATCCCTTATTATTAACTGGTGGAATCGCTTAGTAGCAGTAGTATATAACATGTGATTATTAAATTATATTCCACATTTAAATTTATTAGCTTGAAAAACATGTTTTTCTGTTAGGTGTTAGACAATAATGTGAACAGTACTTGTTACATCTCATATTATTGCCAACTGTACGAGAAAAATGCAGTTGGATGAGTGAATACTCCTTAAGTAAATGACCGTTCCTGTGTATAGAGGAATTTATGAAACTAGTAGGCCCGTAGCATATTGTTATCAAATGATAAATTAATAAGAAAATAAAATAATGCAAGGTATCAAAAGCTAAAGAAATTAATTATTACATTATCGATTAATATAATCGACAAAGGAAACCAAAATTAATTTAAATCTTCATTAATGTTTGGAACCAACATGTTTACAAATTTCAATAAGCTGTATGTTTTCTAAAAATTGTCCGATTTCAATGATTTTTTTTTTTCCTTTTGTAGATAATTTAGTAATATTTTATATAACCATGGGCATAACCAAGGGGAAAGTGCGTGCTTTTTTGTTATTCTCAAATAAAGTTTGTTTTCTTTCATAAATCCTTTGTCTGAATTTTCGGGGTGATTGGACTATTTTGCTCGGCTGAAGGAGAAGAAAGCCTTCGAAATTGGTGGCTCAATCTTGAGATTTGGTGAAGAATTAACGATGATATAGCTTGCCGATCAAAAATACCATCGATGAATAATATAAACTCCTCCTCTCTCGATCATAGAGGCCTCAAGTCAACGAAATGAGACATGTATCCAATGCCAGTACTACAATTAACGTAAGGTTGTGTGGATGCGAACCCTATACCTTGCGTTATCTCGAAAATAGTACGTTTTGGGCTTAAAAACGCAGGATCCTGGTCTTGCTGTACGCATCAAAATCTTCAAGGTCCAATTTGTCCCGCATCGATCTACAGACCTACCACCGTTCCAGTATTGAAGCCTAGCAAAATGTTTGTATCGACTTTATTTATTATAGAAAGAAAAACAAAAGTGGAGAATACGATTCGCTAATCCCCCATGAAATTCTGAATCCGTGTTACTTGAGCATGACAGGAGTTTATATTTGGTACAAAACAGATTTCGAGCCTTACTGTAATAATATATGTGGGGATACATTTAATCTCATCATGGAAATAAGAAAATTTGTCACCAATATAAATTTTCAATTGTTAGAACTTAAAATGAATATCTGATAAAATTTTGAAAGTGGTTAGGTAAAAACTGATTAAGGAATGTATGGTAAGTTAAAAGAATCATATAAAAACAGAAACTTTGATGTTGATGTTAAAAAATCTTTCTTAGTTTTAGTTTACTTTAAGTTTTTCTTTTACTAACCCATTCATGAAATATGTACGACTGACCAGCTATATCTCCACAGCCCGATCTCTTTGGAGCTAATCTGGCATTGTCCTTCCCACCGACTCAGTCAGGTTCAGCTGGAATAAGGTTGAGGATTTAATTCTAAAGACATGTTTTTGAGAACAAATAATTTGATGGTGTTTTTTACGTCTGATTTATAACTTCAATAATAACACTGTTTTTAAGACTTAAATGTTTTGTGCCAGCAGTTTGTACACAAGCAGCTTTTTTTTTTAAAATGCTATAAAACTTATTGAAGATGACAATATTTAGGTAAACAAAGTAGCAAATGAAGTTAATTTGCTGATGACAAAGATTTAACCTTTCCCTCATCGATATAATTTTTAATAACAATACCTTATTAAAAAGATCATTTTTGGGTTTTTAAGTCCATGCAATGGTGTTTGAATTCTATCAACTGGTTGACAATACAAACTCTGTTAGGCAGTTCTCGATAATTAGTTCTCAACAATCATCCGGTATTATTAAAGTTTAACATTACAAAATCAACAAAAATATTATAAAACTCATATCATATCTTGGCGAAATAGTCACATCGCCGCCTAAAACCGTATATTCTCTTCCCATTCTGCCATTTCCTAGCTTGTCGTGTATTCTTTCCAACAATCAGGATTTTTGATTTTCCAAAAATGACACAGGACAAATTGTTAAAAATTGGGACTGTTCCGCCAGCGGGACATCTGGTCGCCTTACTCTAGTAGGCTGACTGGTCTCACATAATGGAGCGAATCAAATTTTTTTATTTTAATTTTTGACCAGAATTTTAGGATCGGGATTCAAAATTACATCCTTTGAGTTTGTTTAACCAACTAGAGTAATTCTACATTTTGGCATACAATTATATCAGCTTGACTACCCTGATATCTCTTTAGAAAAATTTATATATAAAATATGAAGTTGGAGAAGGGAATATATTGACAGTGTATTGGAATGGTGAGCACAGTTAAGGTATTGGACAGTGATGAAAAATGTATAATTTTTGAAAGATTAAACAGGTAGGAAAAACTTTTGGTAATCAATTTCTTTAAATCAATATGTTGCACCGTTTATAATTTTTACATTTGTTTACCACTGTATAGAATATAAACAGCTATTTCAACCCAAAGTATGTTGATAAGTGAAAGTTTTGTGATGTATATACGTCATCAGGTTTATGATATATCAGATTTATGATGTATCTATGGCACCAGATTTATCATGTATCTGCATCACCAGATTAATGATGTATCTACGTCACCAAGTTTATGATGCATTTACCTTACGAGGTTTATGATGTATCTACGTCACCAGATTTCTTTTATGGTTAATGATTTTTGCATGTTATAGAAATAAACCTTGAGCCATTGGAAAAGATTTTGAGATCATTTCATTTATTTTAACTATAGCTTTAAGGTCTTAGTGTGTTGATTATTTGAAAGTTACTCGTTATAATTTTTAAGATTTCCAACTCGTTCCTTTTCAAATAATTTCTGTTGTAACTGTTTCAGGAAAGATTCTTGACAGACCCGTCGAAGAAATTCCCCAAGGGAACACTGAAAAAAACCTTCGACTGTGCGTTCATTGCATCAGTGTAAGTAGCTCCATTCCAAGTTTTGGTACTTTGCCTGTTGTTGTCGGAGACTAAGTATGAATTAACATAGATGTTTGGCAGCTGTTAGAGGTGCGGGAGGAGAAGAGGGAGAGCCGCAGCGCGAAGCCCATCCTCAGCCAGTTCTACCAGCGGCTGAGCGAGCACAAGCAGCAAGCCCACGATCTCAGGCTCCAGTATCTCAAGATGTACAACTCTCTTACGTATGTTCATTCATTTTCTTTTTTTGAACATAGCAAAAATAATATCTTCCAATGTTATTTCGCTCATCCAATGGGACAATAATATAACTGGAAATCATACTTTATTGGAAAAGCAAAATCATTATTATATAATAATAAAAGGCTTCGCGAACCCGAAGGTTTTATGCCGAAAATACCAATTACCACCCATATATCTCTCTCCAACCCCACCCGATCATCCTTAATGCAATTTCTTCCCACCTTCGCTTTGGTCTACCCCTCAGACATTTACCAGTCAGTACAGTGCTTATTAACTTTTTAGGGATTCTTTCGTTATTAAGCCCAACAATGTTTACGCGCCCATTTTATTCACCACAATGTAATCACCTCAATTACATTAACCGGATACAGTTCATACAATTGCGTGTTGTATAATTGTCTAAGTTCTCCAATTAAATGATCCTTCTTTGTTCTGAATATTCTACACAATACTTTATTTTCAAAAAACTTGAGACCTTCATCCCTTTATGTAAGCGGACACATTTTTTCTAGTTATCGTAGACTAATGTTGCCCAAATATGAGACCTACACGAGTCTTGGTCTTGCAAACTCAGTCTTGGGCATGGTCTTGGTCTTGTGCAAGATTCTCGAAACAGTCTTGCAGTTACTTATCAGCTTACCACTATAGAGATATTACTTTAATTTTTTAGATAGGAGAAATCTAACTAAGCCCAAATGAAAAATTAAGAGAGTTAAATGCAAAAGTATTTTGGTTATACCAATTATTAACATATAGTAACTAAAATTCTCGAGTATTAGTAACTATTTTGCCTTAATTTTTATTTAAAAAATCAATTTTTTTTTACTAGAGTTGGTCTTGGTCTTGCAAGAGTTAAGTGGCCTTGGTCTTGGTCTTGCAAAGTACAAGACCAAGACCGATTTTGGGCAACACTATCGTAGACTCTAGATGCCTAAACTTTTCAACATGTTCAAACTTATTTCCTTCTAGATCAATATCACCGAAATTTTTGCCATTTCTACAGCTAATCATATATTTTATCTTATCCCCAATTATTGCGAGTCCCAGTTCCTTCCCAGTTTTCATAAATGTTGTTGGATTTAGTTTTATAGTTTCTGGGATATCGTAGCAGGATAAAATTCTTCTGTTCATTGAAATGTTTCCTACATTATACAATGAGGTGTGTTCGATTAACACTTCTTTCTGACTATTATGCATAGTTAAAAATTTTTGAAAAACTTTACAGTTACTTGATTGTTCCATTGTACGAGCGATTTATTTATTAGTTTTTATTTTATTAAAAGAGTAATGTTCATTAGAACTATACGGAGTCATGATGTCCGCATTGAAATATTTAAAAGACAATTTGTCCCGCCTCGACTTTTGAAACCTAATTTTTTCAATGGGTTATATTGTAAGTGCACTAAGGCTTTAAGTTTTGAAATTATGATTAGTCCACTTCTCCATCAAATTCCCTTTTGTTTAATACCACACTCAACAAAATCCATCGCTCCTGAAAGCCACAAAAGAGATCTATAATATATATATATATATATATATATATATATATATATATATATATATAATATTTATATTATATTATTTAGTGTAGATTATTATTAATTTTTTTTTTTCTTTTTTGTTATCTTTTGTGTTTGATTTTGAAATTAATAGTAATGATATGTGCTTTCAGGAATGGAGAGTCTATTTACAGCTTAGACGAGGCCCAGGTTGTCAAATTGAAGTTACTTAAGTTAGCGGAAAACATTGATGCTTTGAGGTGTTTATTTTAATTTTATTTTTTTAAATGATATATTTTATTGTGATATGAGTTGATAATTCCAAACTAAAACCTAATCATCATTAAGAAATTTTCCAGAAAAGCAAACTATTATTTTCTATTCCAATTGTAATATAAAAATCAATATTTTTTAAAGAATAAATTTAAAAAATCTTCATTTGTAGCACTGATTATTTTAATAGTAATTAAAAAAATTTGAAACTTAAGTTGCGTCGCTTTTGGAAAGAATTAAACTTCAAGGCCCATTTTTTAACAGAAAAAATGTTGATTGAAGTTAAAGAGAGAGAAAACGGTGTATCATTCGGGGAGAAATGTGATAGATATTGTACCTTAAAAAATGAACTTTTTCTTTACAATAATGGAACATTTAAATAAATTTAGTTATAATTTTCATTTGAATAAAGTGGTAAAGCTTTAGATGAATTAGTCGACTTCCGAACGATAGCCCTGAAGGTGAGCCACATGTTTGGGTCCAAACGTCTGCTAATCAAATAAAAATATCTTGACTAAAATTCCTGACAATATTTTTTCATTATAATTCATCAATCAACTAGTTATCCATCTCTAAAGCTTTAAATTTCATAATATTCCTTGAAAAAAAAAAGGTCTGGGATGTGATGTGAAAAAAATAAAATGATTTTCTCATGACTTTTTTTAATATTTAAGTTTATTTTAGAATAAGATGATAAGAATTGATTAGGGTTCACTTTGGAAATAAGTGATTCGTATGGCCTGCCTCTGAATCAAGATATATTTAATTTTATTTTACAAATTTTGAGATTACTTTTAAAATACTAATTATTATAATATAATCATGTTGATGTTGAAATTTTCAAAAGTAGACTAAAATTACATTTTAATCATTCAATAGTTCCAAAATAGCAGTCCTAGGTAAGGGAACGGAAAACCCTCCCCAGGGCCAGGCCCTGCGACTGCAGAACATGGTTCGCGCCGCGTCCGCAGTTTACTTGAAGACGCACCTCCTCAACCTGCCTGGTCTTCCCACCGAAGAACAGTTCGCAGAAGCACAAAATAAGAGAAGGTAACAATATTATTTTATTTAAACAAAAAAATTAAATACTTGCATGGACTTTAAATTTTTAATCATTGATGAAGATTAAGTTATAACTGCTCGGATTTTTATGCAGCAAAAATCTCTGAAATAGAAGAAATAAAAACCCATCGAATAGGCAGTAATACAACAAGAAATGAAAAATGCAGCTAAAACATTAAATATACTAATATGCCTGCAAGAAGTTCTCAACTAGAAATCAAATCAAAGAAAAGATTAAAAATTACTCCATTTCTTTTTTATATATCAAGATAATTAAAATAATGTGAAAATAAAAAAATGGAGAATACAATTATACATTTATTAATGGTTAATAACATGATACAAAATACTTTTTAGGAATTAAAATATTAAAGTAATACAAACTTCCAATTAGTAAAAAATAAAACAGAAACAACTAATTGTATTTAAAAATGTTATCTAATTGATATTTAAAAAAAAACACACACAAATTAATATGAAATCAGTTAAAACAGAAATTAACATATAATTAAAAACATAATGGGAAATAGTTATTAATAATTAAAACAGCATAGATTTATTGTTAGTAATCAAAGAAAATTAGCGATAATTTTAATTAAAAAATGAATCGACTGACAACATGGAGAGAATAAATAAAACTAAGTTATAAAGACTGTTTCATCTGTAGAATAGTAGGGGTCGATTATTTTAATTTTGAAGAAAGTGATGAAATAATAAAAATATTACTGTTTATTAAGAACATTAAATATTGATACCGAGTGTGATGTTAAGAAGTTTAAAAGGAACGAGAAGGGAAGATAAAAAACCAGAAAATGAAAAAAATGTCTATTCTATTATGGCAATTACTGAAGATATCATTATTTTGTTAATTTGTAGTTGTTTTAAAATGAACCTGTGAATGTAGTATGAAATTTTGTCATTAATGTTGCATTTAAATTTATTATTATTTTTATTTGAAATAATCAAAATATGCATTTATCATCAAATATGCCAAATAAAATTTGGCTAATTGGATCTGGGTACACTGATTGATATAAATATTTGATGAACAATTTAAATTAAGAACTGCATTCAAACAAAATCTGCAATTTAATAAATTAATAAACCATGGTTTTAACAATAAAATAAAAACACCCAAAAGTCCCAACATTTTTCTGATACATTTTTGTAAAGACAATTACCATTAAAAAAAGATAGTGTAGTGAGAGCTATGCCATCAGAGCAGAGACAGCTTTATCGTCGTCTGTCAGTTGGTTAGTCCATACTGCCAATTATCTCATACTTAAAGCTTTGAAGAGTGTTTTCAACTTCTAAACTTCCACGTCTCTAGATAAAAATATTTGATTTAAAATTTATTTTATTAGCTTCTATAAATGCATTTTTGTCAAGTATAGCAGAGAGAAGTTTAGGAGTATTGTGTTTGTTAACTGTACACTTGAAGCTGCGGTGGGCTTAGCTCCCCTCCACACCTCTGGGTCACGCTGTTATATACTATAAGTTCGAGCCGAATATTAACATCTTTTTATTTAAAAAGTGCTATTGCGATTGTTAAGGCCTCTCACTTTAGTTCATAATTATAAATTCGTCAAACAGCACAAAATTCATTAATATATATTTTCATGTTAACTTCATTTTTTCATTTCACAATTCGCATGAACACTCTCTTCTGAACATTTTATTGGCATCCAGGTTTGCTTCTCCCTACTACGGGATTAGGGAAGGCCTGATGCCCCAAACAGCAATCTTAAATTTGTATAAAAATAAATATATAGGACCATTTTATAGAGATTTTAAAGTACTATATTATTCTGAACAATCTTTGTGATAAATCTCTCAGTTTTAGAGATATTATTAAAAAAATATCATTTTTCTGTCCTTCTCCCTCCCCCCATCAAAACCCAACGCGGGATACTTTGGGACTTTTTAGCAGTTATTTTGGGGAGGATAAAGAACCATTTCTGAAAGTTTCATCATTATTTATTTAATATTGGGGTAACGTTGTTTTTTCCCCTAACTTTACAGGACTATTTTTACTTTCCTACTATTACTAGATTTTTATGTATAATTTTCAACGAATCTTTACATTTTGCCAACCAACTTCCCAGCATAGTAAATTTTTAATTTAACCAAAATATATTCTTAGTGGTTGGAAATAATAATTTTAAAATAGGTCACCTTATTAAGGAGACCTAAAAGATAACATGTTATGAGGAAGAATAATAGATTGATTCCTTGTAAAAATAAATTACAGTAAAACTTCTAAGCAATTTTTAATTGCCTAAAATAAATCAAATTTAGACTGCTATAAAGAAATCTCTATTTCAGAGAAACTGGAAGTAAAATGGAAACAAAATAAAAATTATCAGATTAAAATGGTATTTTATAATTCATATAAATGAAATTGTTTACTCATTTAAAAAAAAAAAAAATGAAATTTACACTTTAAATATATTTTTATGAGAAATAATATATTTTTCACAATAAAGGTGCATAAACTTGTGTCAAAAGAAAAATTAAAATTTCAAATTACATTTTATAATAATGTGTAATTTTTTTATGCCTATCAACATTATATAAATAGGCAAACAAAAAACAGCCCAGCCCCTTATTCTCCTCTATGCAACTAGTTTTCTTCCTTCATTTTTTGTTTAATAGATATTGACCAGCTTTAGTTATCAATAAATTAAATTATGAAATCGTGCATATAATTAAAAATATAAATGATAGTTTATTTAAAACAGCTAATCTCCAAAAGTTCTTCACCGATTTCTTTTAAATTTTGGCACAGCGTCACAATCAGTTTGAGTGTTTTTGCATACATTTCATTATCATTCAGCCTTTCCTTTCAAAATGGCAGCTGAAAAACGTGATTTGCCTTAGACTGTAGCGCCAAAACGGCTGCAACGATTTCAATGAAACTTGGTTTAAGTCTTCCTCTTGAAACCTTTATAATTTATGTGTATGACATACTTTCCTGAAAACAAGCTGCATAATTTTTTTTAATGAAATATGAATTTTATTTGTGAATAACTCAAAAAGTACACAATTTTTGATAGGTAATACCCATATTCATTTGAAAGATTCCTGAATTCTCTACAAAATAAAAAAAAATCATCAAAATTGGACGATTCGTTGCAGAGTTATAGAGTTTTTATAAATCGAAAACATTACATTTACTAAGGTATTTGGGGCTATTATTTAAAGAGATAATATTGAATGTTAGTGAAATGTCACCTTATAAATTTAAGTTACAAATAAATTCTATAGTTGTGCTCATTATTAATTTAAATACTGCACAAGCTTTAGTTAATGGAACATGAATGAGAGTGAAGTACTAACGAGAGTTGCTGCAAATAAAAGAATTTTAATTCCAAGAATTAATTTAACATTTTCTGGTACAATACGAGAAGTCATTTACATTGTAAAATTATTGAAAAAGCTGAGTTTTATAAATTTGTCCACTATAGGAAAAAGTCCGCTATGAGAAGTTTCATTGTATCCAATTTTCAGAAAACATGATATTCATTTGTTCGATATTTTAATAATGTGAATTAATTTTAAAGATTTTTTCTTTTTTTTAGAGAAGCGATCAATGCTCGGATACATGAAGAGAAGAAGAGAAAATCCAGGCTTAGTAATCAAATAAATAACGTGAAATCGGGACCGTCGTTGCCAAAGCAGTCATCTGACCCGGTAAGTACATCTATATCGTGAAGATATCTCTTATTTAGAAGTAAATATCGGATACTAGCTGTCACCTGCACAATTCCCCTCGAATTAAATAAATTTAGATTTTACCTGGTCACTTTATATTGATTATGAATACATAGCTAAGATCATTTGGTCCTCCATCCAACCTGTACAGAAAAACACAAAAAATGTATGTCTGTTTGCATAAATCCACATGTTTATTTTACAGTCACGGTCATAGAAATTGCATCACCCAGTAAAAATTTTATTAAATTTCTTTTTATTTATCGAATTGCTATCTGCAAGATCTCCGGATATTTCTTTGCCAGTTTTGAAACAATATTCTGAAAACAATCACACCATTAATTGGTCAAATTGTTCATTTGTTTTTTCTCCTCCCAGTTTTTTTCTTTTACTCCATGGTGCCTTATTTTTCTCAAAACTATCTTTGATTTGTGGTACCCTATTCTCGTGAAATTTCTTTACTTGTGTAATGTTACAATTTTAATATTTTTTGACTCGGACAGTTTTTGATACAGGTCATAATTACAAGTTTTATCCTGGTATTAATTAAAACTGATCTGAGAAACATTGAATGGAATCGTTGTTATCAACATGACAATCAAAAGAAATAGGTGATGCAATTTGTATGATGGATAGTTTTCTATCCACTCTCAGATCAAAAACATAATAATGAACGTATATGAATTCATAATTGGGTTTTGGGGAAGTGGAACTTGAGCGAGAGAAGAGTGCGTGGCTGAATGAGCGAGCTCCTTCCCCCTAGAGGCAAACTCATCTTAGATCCAATTATAAATTTACTGTTGTTTAATAACTTTTATAGATCTGATTATATGTTTAAATAATTAGCTAAATTTTTTCGGTTTATTCTGAAAAATCAATTTGCAGTATTTTAGAAAATTACATTATTGAATAATTTGATGCATTCCTTTTCTGTGAAATCACAAAATTATCCACTTACAATTAGTGCATTGACTTTTGACCTGTCGATGCTGTATTTTTTTTTATCCCTTAGTTGGCCTAGAGCACCGCGTCCCTTGAAGGATCTATTTATGCTGTTCGTTTTATTCCTAAAACATTATTTTTGTTGCTTCCGCGTATCTTAGTAGGCTTGTTGGATTGACCGACTCATAGCTACTAGGGCAATCCATCCGTTCCTTCCCAAATTGTTCCAGTCAAAGCCTTGGAAATCTATCACGTGGACAAACAATGTGAAAGGCTGTTTCATTCTCCTCTTGATAGAATCTGCAGAGGGGATTCATTGTTACTCGGAGATTGAACATGTGATAGCTAAACTTACACTGGCCTATATACATTGCTGTAAGCTTTTTAAGAGCTGCTCTGCCCATACTCAGTGGCAGTTTCCTTATTTTATCACATGGATCTGTAAGGAACAATTTCGAGTGTCGTTTCTTCTCAATCTATTATTGTTTAAATATGTTAACATAAATCTCCCTAATCCTACTTTTGGCAGTAGTATTAATAAGTTCGTAACTCTATTTTTGTAAATTTTAGAAGAAAAAAAATAAGAGGATTAAATATATGTATTTTGAAATTTCTCTTTGTATATAGAGCTCAGAGACTGGAGTTATATGTTTCAAATGAACTGATAGAATTGTGGAGTTTTTATTGCCTATAATTGATATAATAAATATGGTTTATGTTATTTGGACGGCCTTAACATGTTTTGGCATTGAAAACTATTACCAAAATTCATAAATGTGTTCTTTAAGATTTAGCTTTAAGATTCTTTAAATGTATTTCAAAAACTTTTTTTAATAGCCTGATTTTGCCAGAAAATCAATATTCAATATGCCTGATGGCATAATTGTGTACTTATAATGTTAATATAAATATCATCAGAATCACATTACCAAATGTCTCAACATCTCATGAACTATAATGACACCTGTAGGAGTCATTGTGATTGAAACAGTTCTTGTCATTCCTGACTGACCATATTGGGCCCACTTGAGGCATAGCTAGTTTAGTTATTTCATAAAACATATCTATGATAGTGTAGAAATTATATTACTTTTAAAATACTTGATCCTTTTTAACATAGTGAAATGAGATTATTGTATGATTTGCTGTAGACCGTCAGCCTTGGACAAGGCTGGGTTCCGGAGAAGACTAAAGTGAACGAGTACGACGACCCCTTGATAGAACAGATCAACATCATCAGGAGCTACATCAAAGAAGCCAAGTAACAACTTTAAACTTACCTAACCTTAATAGTTAATTAGTTATACGTAATTTAGTTGTTATTTATAATATAATCTAATATTACACTTTTCAGGTGCTTTTGAATAAGAACAGCAGCTAAATTTAACAATTTTTTGATTAACAGTTGGCCCATACAAATAATTTGCTTAGTATATTCGTCTGTAAACAAATGGAAATATTATATAGTATGAGGGAGGGAGAGGGGGGAGGAGGGGGACCATTTTATCATTATTAGGCCGCAGTAAGGTTAGGCAGTGATAATGGAGTTCGCAATAATTGTTAATTATTTACTGTTGCTAGTTTAATTTATAAATAAATCCAAACACCCCAATATTCTCTTTAATTCTGTTAATTTTCAATTTTTCATATTGATTTAATCATTAAATATTAATTTAATTTAGCACTAGATTAATGAAGATCTAGACAGAAACTAATAGGGGCTGCAGGTTCCCCACCTCTGTAATATGGAAATAAATAAATGAAATGTGTAAGTATTTCTCCTCTTCCAATCGAGCGATGTTTATTTTTCTTTTGGCTTATTATTTTCATTAATGAACCATTGTAATCGAACAAAAAATTGAAAAACTTAACCCTCTCTCAAAATTTGAGGTTTTATGTTTCAGGATGTGTAGAATTAAAAAAAACTAATAAAAAACTTTTTGTCCATCCACCGTCCACGCATTTTCTCCGAAACTACCGAACCGATTTTTTTCAAATTTGGATTTATAATCAGAGGTCTGCCGAGGATGATCCTCCTTCATCGGCATTACTATCCGCCTTTTACTTTCAAAATGGTGGCTGAAAAACCTGCATTGCTATAGACTGTAGCGCCTAAACGAATGAAACTTGGCTAAATTCGTCTTCTTGATGGCCTTTGAATTTATCTATGTATCATACTTCAACGAAAAGAAGCTGGAAAAAAAGTTAAGAGGGATGCTAAATTTAGATTCTTAATAACTCTATAATAGATATAATAATAATAATAATAATAGATTCTTAATAAAAAGTATACACTTTATTTAAAAGTTTATTAAGGTTAAGTGTTAAAAGTATATTTTGGTTATTTAAAAGTTTACGGAATTTCATAAAAAACAAAATCGTTAAAATCGGACAATTATTAGCAATGATATGGTCTCTAGATGTTTTTTATGTGCTCTACTGCAAAAGTTATATCCTTTGTTTTTGTTTTTGATTTTTTAATGTGTTACTGAAGTAATGATATTTTTTTAGCATATTAATAATAATGAAAAAAAAATGTTTATTCCAATAATTGGAATCACCTACTATTTCTTTTTCTTTGTCAATAGAAAGATAATGTTACTTTAGGTGTATAATTGTTGGGAAATAATAAACCATTGTGAAATAATAATTTGTACCGTTTATTTTTAGAGCTGCGCACAAATATGATGAAGTTGCAAGTTTGGAAGAGAATCTGCAAGAACTGAAAAAGGAATTTTGGAAGAAGCAGACAGAACAAGAACTGGCCAAGTAAGTTAGTTATTTTTCAAATTAATACCTCAATTGCTGCTACGCTGCGTGCTGCTAGAATACACAGTATAAGCATTTCTTTCAGTATTTGATCAATTTATGTTGTTGTTTTTTTTTAATTTAATGCTCATTGATCCCTCTTTCCCAGCCTGCTGATATTCGTCTCTAGGTATCCTTGGCCCCACCCTCGACGCAGTGTATACAGCTGACGTCCCCGTCCTTATAGTGTCATAACCACACATGCCGATGGCACATGTATCCTATCAGTCAGCTACTAATAACCCAACAATTGAATCCCAAACTGTTCAATCACACATCGCAAACCTTGAAGAATGGTGTTAAAAGTGGAGGATTAAAATAAATTACATTAAATCCCAAAATCACCTTTACCCTTCATCGTAAACCTATGACTTTCTGTCCTATAGTATCCTTTAATAATAACCCATTTATCCCTATCGAAGAAATCCACTGCTTAGGACTACACTTTTTTTAAAATTTTATTATTGAAATTTACAACTGTATTAAATGATAAATACAATAAGTAAATATGAAGCAAGTAACATGACATGTACAACTCGAAGAGAAATTACCCATTGGTAGCACTCCAATTATATTTCTATATAAGAAGGTCCTCAGGCCATCTTCTTTTCAGACGCCTCAGAGAGTTATCAGGAATAGAAGAGGAAGCAAGGTTGCAAACAAGAGATTTCGGATGGTTCAGAAGTTTTTTATGGAAGGAATATCTGGATTGGGACAAATCGGAAAAATATGGTACATTAAGGTCGTTATGGATGATTTTATTTGTGACAAAGTAAGGAGCATTGAGGATTTTATGATGGATCTTGGATTGTAGGGATTGGATATGAGTGGAATTTGATGATTTAGTAGAGCCCCAAAACTCGATCCTGTAAGTTCAAATAGGCCTTATTATAGTAATAGATATGAGTATTTTGTAAATAGTTGGAAGTTTAGAGCGTTTGTCTAGCAAGTGCTTCAGTAATCAAAAACATCAGATCGTTTCTGGTCGTTTCAGTCGGGTATGGGGGTTCCAAGTGAGTCGTTGAGGACTACACTTGGACAAACATCTTACTTGGAATCCTTGGAACCATATACAAGGATGAAACAGCTCGACACTTCTGATTACTCCAACACTTACTAGACAAATGCCTAAGCTTCCAATTATTTACAAAAAACATATATATGACTGTAATAAGGCCTATTTGAACCTGCGGAGTTGAGGTATGGAGCTCCACTAAAACATCGATAAACCTCAATGCTCTTTACTTTAATTATCTGTAATGACCTCAATGTTCCATATGTTTCTGATTTGGCCATAATAAACTTCAGAACCCTCTCGTTTCTAACCTTGCTTCCTTTTTGAACCCTGATCAAATCCTCCAAGGCATCTGAAAAGAAGATGGCCTCTTGAGCTCCTAATATTGAAATTATATTACAGTGTTACCAAAGGGTAGTTTCTTTACATGCCTATTCAGTTTATTAATTTCTCTCTTCACATTTATCAGATGTATTTTTATTTAATACAGTATAATATTAATATTTTTTTTATTATTATTGTTTCTAGGTCTGGCGAATCAAGTGAAGCAGCCAGCTTAAGTAGCTACGACGAAGTAAGGCAAAGCGATTCTAGCCATTAGCTAGATGAAACATTCATCATTTCTGCTGAATATAGATACGTGTAATTAATTATATTATCCCAAAGAGATTGTTTTATTTATGTGTATATTCAAAAGTTATATAATTTATATTATTGTAAATATATTTATTCTTTAGCTAATTTTATAACTAGTCGATTTGATTTCCTTCTGTAAATAGATTTTTTACAGTTAACATTTCTGCCTTAAAATATAGTTAATGTTAACAATATTAGTGTGCAATTTTTGGTTTAAAACATTTCCTACATTAAAATATTCTTGTAAATTTCATTTATCAAAACATTTGGTTCAACTTCATTTGTTGTTCCATATTTACTTGTTACTAATGTTTGAAGAAGTGTCGCTACAGTTTGGTTAGCAGATTACTTCTTTATTATTGTATTTATACTTAATAAACTGCGAATTGTATTTGTGTTGTATGTTTTCTGTTTCCTGTTAATAATAAAGTTAGATGTTTAAACGAACTTCAACGACTAGAAATGTTTTGTTGAGGCACGTTGTCATCACAGTCAAGTTTTCATTTTAAATATTAATTAATTATCAACATTTTTTAATAAGCATTAGCTAATTCAAATTTTTAATGTTTTTCTTTTTCTCTATTGAAGGCATGGAAGCTTTGTGCCTGTGCGGGAGGTTTAAACAAAGGTGGTTCCGTTCCTCCCTGCCTGTTGGCAAATCCAAGTTACGTGCATATCATTCGCTACTTTTAATTTGAGCTGATGAGATTTTTAAGGATTGTGATGTTGATTCCTATATGGGGCCAATATCGATTTTAATAAATTTTGTCTGCTTCCTTCATCACTTTGGCAAATATTATTCCTTTCTTAAAAGAACAGCTGTTCACATAGATTTTATTTCCTAAGGACATAGACTTTGAAGTATAGAAAGTTATGGAACCAATAAAAATGGTGAGGCCGGGTGTCTATTAGTCAGGAATTTCTTAAGTTGGTGATTCTTTGTCAATTTTGCAAAACTTGAACAAGTCCTCATTAGTTCTTGACTTAAATATATTCAATTTTTGTAAACTATGGGTGGGATAATTTTTATCTCTTATATTTTCATTTTTAGAAGGACAATTAGATTTAAATTGAATTAGTAGCTCATTGTTGCAATAGTAATTAGGAGGTCATTCATTGGCTGAAGTGCAACCATTCCTTCTTATTAATTAACATATTGTTGTTCTGTTATACATAACTGAATGATTGTGCAATACCTGTTACTGGTTTGTTTACCCATTTTTTTTTTAAGTGAAAACTTCTTTAGCCTCGTTATAAACTTTTTTATTGAGAGTGAATTAGATTGATCCAGAAGATTTTAACGCTCGGGTAAAGTCAGCTTGAGTCGACTAATTGAAATGTTTTTACATATCGATTAAAATATCTCAGAAATTAAAAATTGGGCCTGCATGCTATAAGCGAGTAAATTGTATTCATTCATCCTCTTTGTAGTAAGCTATAATTCCAAATTGTATCTTGATGCGACGCCACGTCAGTAGCCAAAGGAGAAAATAGTGTCGAAAACCAAATGACGAGTTTAGTTGAACATATGGATTAAAATATTTCAGATACTAACCTAAAATCAGATAATAACTATGATGTAAAAAACTCATTGGAAGTGAAGCGAATGCTTGAAAGAAAAAATAAAATTGACAATAGGTAAATATCGTTTGGTCTGTTTTGATGTAAAAAAATTATTTACCAATATTAACTTGAAATATGTAATAAAAATAATTGAAAAATACTGAGACACAAAAGAACCGCATACAAATCTTAAATTTTATTTAGGGGGTGTGAATGTACGCAGTGATAATAAGAAAAGAAATAGTATATATGATAATTGTTGGAGAGAACGGTTAATAAATGTACTGACATCAATAAAACTTTAGAAAAGTCAAGAAATAACAAACTGAGAGGTTAGAAACAATATATTTTAATCTAGATAGTACTGCCAATGAATATTCTAATACATATTATATAATTATGGAACTTAATAAAATATTATTAATTAAGAATATTATAACAATAATAATACTCAAAATTGTTAGGCATAAAAAATAATGAACTATAGAAATTGGGAATTCTATTCATCCTAAGGGGATTCCATATCTACTTAAACATTTTGGTAGATTGAAAGGGAAATTGACATCTACGAATATTTAAACTTGGTGTAGTGCTCTGATGGCTTTCACTACACATTACGGCTCCAGGAAAAAAGATTTGATCCCATGTAACATGTCCCATCTGCTTGTAATCAACCAATTCTTGGAGCTTTGTTTAGGGGTGGTAGGCACCCGACTACTATTCCTTTTGGGTGTATAGAATTTCCCAATTTTTGTCGTCTGGTCTTTGAAGTTAAAACTTCTATAGGCGTGTTTTGAATTTTTTGTGGAGATTGAACCATCAGATTTCCGATGTGTAAAGTCGTCTGGATTCGACTAATTAAAGTATTTTTGCATATGAATTAAAATATCTCAGAAACTAAAAATCGGACCTGCATGCTTTAAGCGAGGGAATTGTTCAGCATTTTATACTCTGTAATGTGCTATTATTCAAAATTGTATCTTAATGCAACGTATTAGGGAGACGATAAGGAAAAAATAGTGTTGAAAACCAAATAATAATGAGTTTTATGGAAGATTAAATTAATTTAAATATCTCAGAAACTAAAAATCAGACCTGCATACTGTAAGCAAGGGAATTGTTCAGAATTTCATCCTCTTTATAATAAGCTAATATTTATAATTTATATTTGATATTATTTATCTCGCCTTGTTGATGTTTCACTTCTGTCGTGTGGTCTAAAGCACATTCCTTTGTTGTTGTTTTTTTTTGTTTGGGTCACTTGAGCGATCATAAAGATTTAAAATTCTACCACTGTCTTAGTAATTTTATGAATAAAATTTAATAATTTTTTTTTATGCTTTGAATAACATATAAAATTTGTATACCATAAATTACTAAGTTGTGAATATATGTAAAATAAAAAAATCCAGCAGATATCCATTAAAAAATGTTGCTAATTGTGAATTTTCACTAAGATCCAGGTATTGTATGAGAAGTTCAAATACTGAAAATTGACACCATTAAATACTGAACCTTCAGTTATAATTTGTTAATACTAGTAATAAGCTATTTTTATCAAGTAATATTTATTGCTATGTAGTTATTTTAATTATTAGTTAGTTTTTATTTGTATTTTCTTTCAAAAATGTCCTGACGGTGGAGCATACCTTACCTCATTTATATTGTAGTAGACATCCCCCTGGTATTTACTCCTTTGTGTGAAGGAATGAGAAGGAATATATAGGAATGGGAGGTTGCAAGATGAACTGTACTCAATTGTGCAGTGGACAAATTATTCATGGAAAAGTCTCGTATCGATAAACAATCGATGAAGAAGGACGCTGGAAAAAGGAGAGCAGGTAGCTAGCAACAGCTGGAGAGGCACTTGAGGCTGTGACATTGAGGCGGAACGACATACCTGGGAAGAGAGTCTACTACAAGATTTAGAAGATCAATTCTATAGTTATAACACTTTAATAGAGTCAATTTATTACAGTTGTGGAAATAAATTAGTTTGTTATACAGGAGTGAAAATTCATATATTTGTTTAGTTGTATGCCTCACAATTGAAGAATGTATTTACTCAGTCCCACATTTCAGATATATATTCTTATTGTTTCTTCTCATTCAGTGTCACAAAAGGTATTAGATTCCCGAATTCCCAACAACAGTTAAACACCCTCAAAAAGTCAATATCCAGTGCCAGGGTTTTTTTTTAATTATCTCGAATATAAATAACCTAGTTCCCCAATAAAAGCGGAAGGCTATTCGCCTATTCCCGCCAAAACAAATTATTTACATTTAACCTTTAACAGGTTATTTACAATATTCATGATTATGTAAATTGTTTTTTTCAAAATATTTATACCAAGCAAGGAATGTCTTTTGGCAAAACGATTTCTTGTTAGTCTCTAGTTTTAAAAATCAGTTCAGATATAATTAGTAACATCACGAGTATAGTATAACTAATATGTTTAACACACAAATTTGAAAATAATGCTGCGGTTCTTTCCAAAAAAAAAAATTTTTTTTTGTAACAAAAATGATACAACTAATGAAAAAAAGATGAAGGATATTAATGGACTTACAGTTTATTAGCTAAAAGGAGAAATGAAGGATAAGGAACCAAGGGAAATAAGATATAATGATTATTGTAACATTAATATATTTGTTCGTCACAACAAATAACAATTATAAAATTGGAAGTACATAGAAGCTATTCATCACATAAGCATTTCATAGAAAAACTAACAATAATTTAAAATAAAAAAATATCAAGTTATAATAATAAATAAATCCCCAGATTCTTGTTGAGCATTTTGAAATCAATTTCATAATCTATTAACAGCTCTTTTGGAAAGACATTTTCTTTGGTTCGATTAAATGTCGTAATGTTAAACTTAATGAAATTTGTTTATAAAACATAACAGCTCAACTTAAAGTTATCGCTACTAAACAAGTGAATAACTTTATTTTACAAAGTTTGTTTACATTGAAACATTTAAATACCATTAATCCACATTTATTAATATAAATACATATATATTCCATATTTATTAATATAAATACATATATATTCCACATTTATTAATATAATGATGTAGAGTTGGTTGACCGTTGATATGATATGAGAAGGAATTAGTCGAGGGTGCGGTCAAAAAAAATAAAAAAAATTAAAATATATAAATAATTTTAATTTTTGCCGACGTTTCGACCCACTTTGCAGGTCGTCTTCAGGGCGTTGGATGTGGCACTGCGGGAGGCGGTTGAAACACTCTACACACACACACACACAGTGTTTCAACCGCCTCCCGCAGTGCCACATCCAACGCCCTGAAGACGACCTGCAAAGTGGGTCGAAACGTCGGCAAAAATTAAAATTATTTATATATTTTAATTTTTTTTATTTTTTTTGACCGCACCCTCGACTAATTCCTTCTCATTTATTAATATAAATACATATATATTCCACATCCATTAATATAGGTACAAGTTCAATTAATATATCAACAGGTTCATCGTATTCAAAATAGGGAATGGAATACTATACTATATACTACATATTACTATTACAGCAATCACCATATCATATGCTCTATAAAATCTAACGTTATGAAAATAAAATTTGAAATAATTTGGGCTGTTATCATTTTTTCACCATATGTTTATTCATTCCACAACTTTTGTTCTCATGGCGAAGATTCAGCAGCCATCTTCAAGCCAATTGGTTCATTTTATTTATCGCTGCTCCACAATTGGATTATTTTAATCTTATATAATAATTATGCAGCAATGAGAAACAAAATAAACTGATTGCCTTGAGAACGAAATTGTGGAATGAAACTATTTCAATTTCTAAATAAGAATTTTCACATTAAACTTGATAAAATAAAGATAATATTTCAAAAACATAAATGATAAATCAACAATATACTGAAAGTAAAATGAAATATTATTATAAAGATCGCTGCCAGATATTTTAAAAAAATAAATAAAATTTTTAGGCAACCTAAATAAATTATGGATGTAAAAGTTCATTCAAAATTGAGAGGATTTCCACACCAAAAGCAGTAAATGAAATTTTAAAAATCTGTTATATTAGATTATTATAATATTAGAAGATGTATAATCTTTGAAATGATATTTGTACAGAATGTTTATTATTATCTACATACATTTTTTACTACATGATAGGTAATGATAACAATGCTGTAACATATTTCTTAATAATAAATATGTTCATAAAATATACGGGTCATCATTAGAGTTACAATAGTCTACATGATAAATAAAAGTAGGAATTTAAATAATTTAATGCTATCTCACGAATTTGCCACTTTTAAAGACATTTGCTAGCTAAAAAAATTGCTTTTGGTGTAGAACATTCCTTGGAATTTGAAATATTCCAGATAAGTTCATACATTCAGTAGAAGAAAAAGATGATAGTAATTTTTCAATTCGCTGTTTAATATTTAAGCTCAGAATTGGTAATTATTCAAAATATTCTATTTACAAATGGAAAACATTCGATTACATTATTATTGAGCAAATTTTTGATATGGATAATAACAAATGAATTAGGTATATAATAATTTTGTGTTATTACAGTTACCATAAAAATAAATAACCCTGCTAACAGTTGCAGTAACCGGTTACCAATGATCAGATCCAGCAACTGATTACAAGAAATCAGTTCCAGTAACCATTTACTGAAATACATGGTAACAGTTACTTATTAAATTTAAAAATAACCAGCTGTTGTATAATTGGTGGTCGATGAACCATTATAAACCACATAGAACATTAAATAAAATAATAATCAGCATAAAATTACTTTTTAATATAGAATACCTTTAATGGCTTGAAACTGGCAATAATTCTACAACAAAAAATATGTAAAATTGTCCATTTTTGTGCATACAAATCTTACTTTAGCTATTGCATTGTCTATCAGTCAAATTGTGCAGTGTGTTTAGTGACTCTTCAACATATCTATAAAATAGCACAAGAGAGCCCAAAGACATGACTCGATCACAAATATCCATGACATTCTGGAATACTGTTAAATGAATTTTATTAAATTGTTAAAAACAGAGGGAATTGAGGCTAAAATTTATTATTTTTAATAAAATATTGCTATTCTTGCTAGGAATCATCTATCTTACTGTCAGAAAAAACATTAAAATAAAAAATATATAGTTTGTATACACCTAAATAAAAAAATTGAATACTTAATAGTGACCGTTGAATTATAAAGGAAGGAGATAGTCATAGGGTGGCGGTCATAAATAGACTAAATAGGCGGTCATAAACAAAACTGTTTTATTAAAAGCCAAAGTTTCGACCCGACTTTGCAGGTCTTCTTCAAGGCTAGAACGGACAAGATACAGAGAATTGAGGAAGTTACATAATAGTTAGACAAAAAATTATAAACAGTAAGTACATTAAAATACAAACAGAGTAAGCTAAGTAGCAAGATCCTAAACTGAAATAAATAGATGGCAACAATTGTAGTGTAATATATAATATAAGCAATTGTGAATATACTCCTACAGATCTACAGGAAAGATTAGAAGAAAAGGATAAAGGATATAATATGAAATAATGGTTAGAGTGTTCAGCTAGGAGTTTCGCTTAGAACTGGAAAATCTGAGTAAGTATCTTTGGGGAAATTTGCTGACCTGGTTGGGAAATAGTGAGAGGTTAAGTATTAAAAGTAAAACAAAACCTGAAATATTACATTATCTAAAATTTGAAGATATGGATAGATACAAGGGAAAAATGCTATATCTATGGACTAATAAATTATAAATATATACATATACATATAAAATAGAATTAAGAAATTATAGATAGAAGTACAATGTGAGTAAAAAAACAAAAGTGAAACGTACATAGAAGTAAAGTTTTTGCCACTATTTAGTTTATTTATGACCGCCACCCCGCACCATCTCCTTTCCTGAATAAAAAAAGAATGTAAATTTGCAACATGCTTTAATATTGTAAAAGAATTATTATTTTAACACAAGAATAAAAATTTTATTAATTATTAAAAAGTTTGGTAGCTGCCGCTGTGGAATAAGAAAATTTTAACTTTATTTTGTATAACTCATAAGAGTAGTGCAAGTAAAGTTTTCTGACTCAAGTCCAGAAATAAAATTCTTAAGAGTTCAACTGTTGAAATAAAAAAATAAAAAAGAAACAAGTTACGACCTCAATAGTTTGCCATTTTCAATTGTTTATAATCAACCTAATGAATTGTATTTATTGATAGGAAAAATGACAAGTAAGTCACTTTAAAATGTATAAAAAGTATGTACCATTAACATCCACGAAGGGTTAGTACTTTGTAGTGAAGGTATTGTTTTTAGGTCAACGATTGTGCAAGGAGGTGAATCGATCGAGATCATGTTCAACTGCCAGGTTTTTCCTCTTAATCAATAATTTAATTAAGTGTACCCACTTAATAGAGGCTGGGTATGACCAAGGAGAATCTTTTAACCCCAACGTCACTCTTAAGATAAATAATTTATCTGCCATCAGCCGGATTCAAACCTGGGATGTCGAGCATTGGAAGCCAGCGACCTTCTACCCAGCTACCCCACTCTCTTGAAATGTAACTTAATAAAATAAAATTTAGACAATTTAACTTCCAGATTATCTTTCATCAAACCTCATATCAATATTCAATTGGTCCCAAGCAGGGATGTTGAAATTATATTGATATATAAAAATATCAAAATCTTTATAAATATCAATACTGAACATTATCTAAGGTAAGTTACACTGTTCCAAACAAAAAAATAAAAATGTCTAAAAGGAAAGCCATTTCAGCGATGAGAAAATAAAAATGAAGATCTTTTTTATTAAAATTAATCAATTAAATCAATACCTGAGAGAAGTATTGGTTCAATTAATCATCCTACATGAAACTGTTACGACTTTAAATGCATTTTATAGTTGATCGCTGTGCGTATAACAAGCGATGATGATTGTGCCACATGTCGACGTCCGTAGAGAATATTACCATATAGTTAACTCCAAGTGCGTTGTGACAGAAATTCCTCATTATATAAAACAAAACAATTTTTTTACGATCTATTTTTTCTTTATCACATAGAGTGAAATATTATATATATATATCCTTAGTAACTCAAAAGAATTTCAGAAGAAATATTATCTCATTCTTATCACAAATGAGATTTTTACTTTTATAACTGAAAATCCTTAAAAGTCAGTCTTCAAACAGCTTAAATTTATTCTTTTGATTTCGAAAAATAATATACCATTTTTCGAAATCAAAAGAATAAATTTAAGCTGTTTGAAGATTGACTTTTAAGGATTTTCAGTTATAAAAGTAAAAATTTCATTTGTGACAAGATTGAGATAATATTTCTTCTGAAATTCTTTTGAGTTACTAAGGGTAAACTGATAAGAAGCATTAAAAATATGATTTCAATATTGACACTGTAGTTGAAAATTGTTTTTAAAAAAAATAAAAACATAGCTACTTCTAAGGAATGTTCCTTAATACAAAACAAAGCCACTGCATAACCTATACAACGCTCATCATAACCAAAATTATGGATAATTACTTAATGAGAAAATTTAAATGGACTGCTTATATGGAAACTTAAATCCTGCCTGAAAAGTAAATTATATATGAAATAATATAAAATTAGTTTTATAAATGTAATCGTAATAAAATGGATATTGGATTTTCCATCAATTTTGGGGAGTTAAATAAAACATGATTATATCCTAATAAAACTATTTAAACGTTCACAACACAAATTAGAAAATAAATCTGAGTATTACAGCACTGACCATCAGACCCAGGCAAAAGCTATTTCAATTATAAAGTATTTAAATTGTTTTCAGAAAAGATATTTCAAATACAAAATGCCAAAAAGTATTTTATATCGGACTACAGGTCAATGTAGATAAAACAAAATACATGATAGTAAGCCGAAACATCCACCCATTAGGGTTTTTAAACATGATCTGCGTGGATTCTAATTCATTCCCGAAAGTAGACAGATTCAAATACCTCGGCTCCACAATAAATGATTAACTAACAGAGATAGACCAGCGAATAACAAGTGCGAACAGATCTTTCTTCTCTCTTTCAAAGGTACTGAAATCCAGAAAAATCTCCAGAAATCTCAAAATAAGGATGTACACCGCTGTGATTAAGCCAGTTCTGCTGTACGGTTGTGAAACCTGGGCTCTGACCAGAACATTAGAAGCCAGAATTGAGAGATTCGAAAGAAAAGTCCTACGTAGGATAACAGGACCTATATGGGACCAGAACCTTGGCACAAGGAGGAGAAGGAACAATAAAGAATTGTTGAAAGAAACGGGGCAGTCAATATCTCATGACATGAAGGCAAGGAGGTTATGAATAGTGCAAGTAAAATTTTCTGACTCAAGTCCAGAAATACAATTCTTAAGAGTTCAACTGTTGAAAAAAAAAAAAGAAACAAGTTATGACCTCAATAGTTTGCTAATTAGTTGGGCAGGGCATGTAGCTCGTAGCAATCCATCAGGATGCCTTTACACAACAATGAATGCCAGAGTAGTAGGCAAGAGACCACGTAGGAGGCCAAAAACCAGATGGATAGATAGGATAAACAAAGATACGGCTGAGCTTCATGCCGCAAACTGGAAAGCAGTAGCCCAAGATAGGCAGAGGTGGAGAAGGCTGGTTCAGGCGGCCAAAGATCTACAAGGTCTATAGAGCCAACAGAAAAAAAAAAAAAAAATATATATATATATATATATACAATACTCTTTTGTATTTTAAAAAGAAAATACAGCTACAATTTATTTTACTTCTTAAAATGCAAAATACAAAAAATGTATTTTAAAATATTACATTTCAAATACTGCCCAAGTCTGTTGGCCATATATCACACAAAAACAAACCAAAAAAATTTAACTACTAACATCAATGAGGGATGAAAGTTTGACAACACATCGAGGGAACAACTGAGTAGAAGAAGAAGATCTAACATTGACAACTAAACACTTGACGAGCGCTCAAAAATATTAAGAAGCATGTTGTGAGATGGGACATTTAAGCGACTAGATAGTATAGTCTCACGTTGTTAGATCGTAGTTCAAACAACAGTTTATGTTTAACTTGACATCATTTATACTTCTCCGAGGTCTTCCATCGATTCTAAATTTTCTTCGTCGTCCTCATCATAGTCATCTTCATCATTCAATTCCAACATCTGCATAAATAAAACAGAAATGTAATAACATAAGTAATGAAAAAAAAAAATGTTTAACTAAATATTTAAACCAAATACTTCAAGAGAATCGGTCGCTTTGAAAAGTTCAGTCAATCCAGTGAGGTCCTCCAGGTATTTCGTAGACTTGAAGACGTTATCGAGGAATTCTGTTTTATTTTCTGAATATGATTTTTCAACCTGAATATAGAAAAGAAATTATTAAACTTAACAAGAGCTAATCAAAACAACAGCTAATTCAATTTTTGATCTTAATTTGAGTAGAAATGAATAATTCTTTGTATTAGTAAAAATTATAAATGATGACAAGAACATATTAACTTAAAACATCATTATCCATAGATATTTTCCCCAATGTGTTAAATTCATGTGTTTTTTGTCACTCTTCATTACCTTCTACAAATATTTATTTTAGATATTAATTTTTATAAATCCTTCCAAACGTGTATTATACCTTTATTAAATTATCTTGATTTCTGTAAATGTGATTTCTAACTCCTATAGTTAATCATAAAATTCTTTCCTAGTTTATATGTATTCATTTTTCATTCAAATAAACAATATTAATAAAAGTATAGCCTTTAGAGAAAGAAATTTATAAAATGTTGCTTGTAAGCCCCATCAAACTGCTTCAATAAGCTCCATGATATTAAAGACTATCCAGTTTTACATAGATATTGTTTATTAACCTTTTACATGCTCTGGTTCCAGAAGTGGAACATATATGAAACAATTTTTTTGGCCGACCTATCACTATTTTTTTGCCAAAAACTATTTTTTTTTTCCATAAAAACAAAAGTCAAAATAATTTTTTTCAACAAAGATTTTATCACTTTTAGTTCGGTAAATAAAAAGGTAAAGTTTTTTGAGTTAATACAACAGCAATGAAATTTAATTTGAACATTGATTTAACTGATTGCGATAGATTACTCAAAATAATGGATTGTAGAAAATGGTATGAATTTGTTTTACTAATTTTAATTTTAAAGTTTCACATATGGAACAATGGCAGGTTCATGCTACAGAAATGTTCGTTCTATTCGTGTTGTTTCCCTATCTTGTTCTTTCTGCTTGACGGGGGGGGGCTATTGTCAGTATTCATTTGGATTGGGCACTTCGTGTGCTTTGTTGGTGAGAGGGATCTGCTGTGGGGCACTTTATATTCAATTTCTTCCCGGTTGATTGCTGATTTTGTCACGATTGGGGGCGGGTGGGGCAGCGTGTCTCTGTCGAGGAGTCGGTTTGTTACATGAAAAATATATGAAAGACACGTGGGGAAGGGGGAAACTGGATGGTGTGGGGGAAGGGGAGGGGTCGGATAGAAGAGGGGTGGTCGCATATATGCCAGGCGTGTTGTTTGGTAGGTATGATAGGCCGGGTTACTCATGGGTAATGGAGGACTTTGAGGATGACCGCCGTGATTGAAGACTATATGACGGGGGATTAGGCTTATGGCTGTACGAGTGTCATTTAGGACTCACCAAGTCAATTGGTTGGTGTCGTGAAGGGTGGACATCCACTTAATTGTTTTGTTTCTCTGGCGCTTGATTGCCTCGTTGTTGTTGTGTTAATGTGTTACTCGATTTGATGTGGGGTTGGCGGGATCTTAAGAGTTGTGATATGGGTGGGGTATTGAAGGGACTCGGTCTGCAATCGTTATTTGGGGGGGCGGGGGAGGTGGAAAGCAAGGGCGTTGGGTAAAATGTACTAGTTTGGGGGGATGTTGGGTATTACCCCTTCCCACGGTTACTGGTATGGTGTTGATGGTACCTGGTACCCAAGTCCAAGCCGTTGTGAGGATCTTTGGGGTGTAAAAGGTATACAACATTATCGATGCGAGGGGAGCTTACTGTGTGTGGCTTTGTAGCTATGGTTTTCATTGGTTGATTGATGTTCTTTTATGGGGGGGGTGTTTTGGTTTTGTGTCATATTATGTTGGGACTTGTTTGTCCCTCATATATCTATTAAGTAATATCTATGTAAGTTATACAACCACAATAAAGGGAGGTTCCGCTCTAGTTCTCCTATCGGACAAGTATCTTTTACCAACAGTTATAATGTTTTACTAAAATATAATAATAATTTTTTATCAATATTATTAAAAACAACACTATTCTTGTATTGAATATCCAAATAAAACTATTAAGAAAAAAGTTATTTGCTTTTCTTTGTATAACCTACAAGTTAGAAAAGCGCAAAGGATATATTTTTTCTTAGGAACTATCTAAATTGAACCACATTGAGACCAATATTATAGAAAAAAAAAAAAATTTCTACTGGAATTAGGGGGTGGCATGTAAAAGGTTAATATCAAAGAAGACCTTCACACCAATTGAGTCATTTTTTATTTTAAGTTGACTTAATACAAACAAACAATACAAGAATTGTCTAAATTCTAATTAATATTAAAACATGTGTTTTTTGATAAGTTGTTATTTGGTTATTCAATATATTGCAACGTAACCAATCCTAACAGATATAATGAGTTTAATCAAAATTATTGGAACTGTTTTTGGGAATATTGTAAAAATGTCTAACATCGATGATACAAAGTCACACTTCTGGTTAGTCGTTTTTTATGAAAAAGTAGCTGCAACATCCCCGGAATGTACCTACCTTAAATATTAATTTCAGTTTTATTCAACCTTTTGTTTTTGAGCTAGGTTGTTTACAAACAACAATCCACATCCGCACACAGACTAGAATTTTCACAACTGTAATATTTTCCCTCATTTTATATATATATCATATTTAGCCGAATGATTTTTTTTTATTGAGTAACATAACATTTTGTCACAGTATGGAGAATGGTTATACCATATTTATAGAAAATATAAACAAATAAAACAAAGCAGTAGCTAAATAATAACTGAATATTAATAAGAAAGTATATACAATAAATACAAATAAAATCAACTTAAAGATAAGTAAAGTAAAATAACACAGAGACACCTACATACACTATTTACAATCAGGTACTTCTACAATCTATTTATAATCCTGGAAAACCAGGACTTCAGGAGATCCTCACGCTACTCTCTCAACCGCATCACTGGTACTAAAGCCAGTGGAGATTGACCGAGAGCATGATAGCCGCATATAACTAAAAATTTGTGCATCATTTTATTAAAATTTCTTTAAGGAGCTTTGAAAATTTCTGTGGAATCAAACCATTAAACTGTAAAATACTTCATTAAAATTTGATGGATATTAAATATAGTAGAAATAAAAATATTTATAAAATACTTACAATGGGAGAACAAGCAATACACTGAGAGAACGATACCGTCGAAGGAAGTATGTGAGTAAAATGTGAAATAAAACCTCGGATCGAATGGGGAAGAATTCCAAGGACGGTCTCTTCTGTGGAAGTTGCGACACCCCTAAGGAAAATATCGTTTCTTAATTTATATAAAAAATAACAAACAAAATATAACTTAGCATATACCATAATAATACATCAATATTATTCGTATGATAAGTAATATACATAAATATTTTCATATTTTTTTTATCATAAAAATATTTTTTTATTAAAAATAATATGTTTAAGTTATCTTTATGAAATGAAAGGACTTGACATCTTTGATATAAGCAAGAAAATTATTATCTAAATAAATAAATTTTATTGTACAGTTAATAGTATAATTAAAAGTTAGTATCGTATCAATCATAATCAATGAAATGAACTAATTAACAAATAAAGAACTGAAGAAGCCATGTAATACAGCAAATATTATATCCATCATTTTAGCTTCCCATGCCCGGGAAAACCCTGGATAGCCTAAAAGGCGAGGTAGGGAGGACAGGAAAAAAAAAAAAAAGTCGGATGAAGAGGTGTGGCCGAAGAGAGGTTGGTTTGGAAAAGTATAGTAAAGGAGACCAATGTCCTGCGAGGGACACAGCCCCATCGGATGATGAAGATGATTCTTGGTGATTAGTGTTTATGGCTTCTTTAACATCTGACCAAGGCTTGGGCCAAGCAATTAACTATATTGAGGCAGCGGTGCGCACATAACTACACAAAAAGCACATTTAACATCTGTAGGATTTGTCAAGTTAACATAGTTTCAATCAATTAGTTCTTTTGTTATAACTTTGTAACCATATGTTTGTGAACAATAAATCAGTTTCAGTTATGCCTTTGATAAGGAAGCGGTGTATCCATATTTCTTATTTATTTAGAATCTTACAACACCAACACTCATCTTACTGAGAACACACCGATAGATATTTTATCACTTACTTCTGACGATGCTGGAGGACTGACACAAGAAGCTCTACAGCAAGCGCAGATGCTACGTTTGACACACCAGGTCTTGTGACGGTACACTGCTGATCCAAGGTTCTGTCTTCCATTGACTGGAACAGAAGAGTTTAACGATTAATAATTTCATGTTTTCAATATTCCATTTACTTTTAAATTAAAAAATAAACACTATAAAACCTAAAACTTTATCATATATCATAATTTTTTTTAAAATTTATTCAATGCACAAATGTCAAAATGATTTTCAATAAATAAGGGATTATATACGAGATGAATCTACAGTCAGTGGATTACCGATTTCAATAAATTTTTTTTTCTATGATACTATATTAAAAAATATTGGACACATATCACAGCATTAGTTCCAATGGGCCCTAGCAGCCGAGAGAAAACATCAGTAAAGTAAAGTCAGTACAGCTTCCTCACCGTTTTCATTGGCTAAAAATATCTATACAAGGTCTAAACATTTTCTTATGAGAATAAAATCTCTGAGAGAAGCAGTTTTGAAATTCAGTAATCCCTCAACATATACAGGTTTGATATCCACGAGTTATGTTCATCAGCGAATACTAAAATGTGAGAGTTCCGCATTTGCAGACTGCTGATGATTCGTGATAAAAAAAAAATTCCAGTGCATACTGAATATAAATATCACTACTGTTAGCGCAAAAGGCCGTATTAAAAATTTAATGTTTTATAGGAGAGGATTTATTAGTATAATTTCATATTTTATTGCCATCTGCTGTTTTTAATCGTAGCAGACTGCTTATGTCAGTTACAGGACAAAAAATTTCATCATTAGCATAAATAGAATAAAAATTGAAAGTATTTTACATATGACATTTTGCACCAACACTAGTGATATGTACTTAATAGTTATGTTTTCACTCGTAAAATGGATGGGAAAAAAATCAATAGGAAAAATTCAACTTTTTGTTTAACTAATCAAGCTGGAATATAAAAATATGTATAAAGCTCAAACAACTTTGATATTTAAGAAGGAAATCAAGACAAAGATGAGCTGCTTGAACTTCAATAGAAATAAAAACAATCACAAATAAGACTTTTTTTACAAAGTCAGAGTAAAGATTAATTTAAATTTACTGAAAATTATACGAAATCTAAGTAATGGCAGTAAGTGTCATTCCAGTAACGTTTGGAATCAACCAAACAATACATTAGAAATTAAATTTTATAATCCCATAAAAATATTGTCATAACCTAATTTTAATTTTACATCTTTGGTTCTAATCATTTTACGGAAGGTTGATTTTTTCATGTATTGTTTATAGAGCCCTAAATCCTTAATAATTTTCATGTGAATTGGTGAAGTCGCTGTGAAATTGTCACAAAAATTTACTTGGTCTATATTACAACCCATTTAATATCATGATCAATATTTTTCTCTTCTTCAGCACAGAAAAAACAATCGATTGCTATATAATAATCTAAAAGTCCGCAATAAATGCAACAATAAATTTTGTTCGAAGTTATATAACTTTTTTTTTTTTTCGGTGATATGGACCATTGGAAGTAACACCCGGACATGTGTCTAATATTCTTCGATGTTGTATTACTGAAAAAAAATTGGTAGAAATAGTTGACTTACTGATTGCAGATTCTCCTTGTTAATAACATATTTCTACTGAAAATCATTTTGACTTTTGTGGATAAATAAATATCAAAAAATTGTTAGGGAGTTATGATTTGTTGGTCACAGGAGAGCACTATAACAAAAGTTTTACTGTATTTATTTCCGAATGCTGCAAACATACATTTCCAGGAGCTGTGACATCATTGCAAAAGTAGCATCCCAGTTTTTGATTAGCACCTTCCGCTTGACCGTGCCTCATTACCAAGTATGTATCATATCCTAATGCTGTCGTGATTGCCAACTGTTCGGAAACATAAAACATAAAAATTAAAAAAATTTAACAGCAATAATCCGACTTTAGATTTCTAAATTACCTTTTGAAGAACGGAGCAAATAACTGTAGGAAGCCATCTACTCTCTCTTGAATCAGTGAGGAGGAAAACAACATCGTGCTCTTCGATCAAATCGTGTAGCTTCACTGCATTTTCAATTGTGGCACTGTAATGACCGGGCATTGGGATTTCTAATGTTACACCAGTTGAATTCTTCCAAGACAAAAAAAAAAAAATAGTACAGAATATAATATTATAACAAGAATCTTCTGTAAAAGTAGAATAAAAAAATATTCTATAACTCTCACAATCGTCGGGAGAATAGCCTTGAGGGCTAGAGCAGCGGCTTCAGCTTTCATCTTCCCTCCAGCGCCGAGGTCACAGTCGCCGTAGCTGAAGAGTGACTGCCTCACTGGGTTCGAAAAAGACACGCGACCATTATCTACAAAAGTGACGTGCCTCACACCCCAGGCCTGTAAGAATAAATCAAATGAAATAAAACATTTATTTATCCAAAGAGACTGCTAGCTATATTCGTTGCCAAAAGTACTTTTTAAACAATGGGTCCAGTGCTAATTTAATAGTGACAGCAGATTATAGAACAAATAAGCAAAATACTCACAACTAAATTCCGGGCAACAGAGCAGCCTAAAGTTCCAGCGCCTAAGAGAAGGCACTTTTGAGATTTAATAATATCAAGGTCTAAATCTGGGACAAGCCGCCATTTCATCAATTTTAAATTCAAATCAGCGCTGGAATCAGCAATCCTGCCAATAAAAAGGAACATTTCAGTAAATAGCAAAACATAATTGATTATAAAATAGAGAGATTGGATACCTGAGAGGGTCGAGATCATTTTGAAGATTAATGCAGCGGGGACCAAATTTATCCCGCTTGTTCTTCTCCCAGCCGATCCATACGTCTTGTTTTGATTCCTCGTCAATTGAAACGCTAAGAACTAAACTAGATTCAAAAGGGGCTCCGATTCTTAGGCAGATCACATCGATAGGCCAAATGTCCTTACTAGAAAATAAACGATGATATTTCATCTACAAAAACAGTTTAGGTTATTTTATTGATTATATATGCATGCAAACATATTTACATTTCTAAAAGTATAAATATTCAATAACCGGTCACAATTTATTTTAAAACTGATAATTTTAATTAAATTAATAAGTAAATTTAAAAAAATATAAAACAGTTGAATAGTCAAAGATTCTATGAATAACAATTAAATACAAACTAAGCAAGTGCTTTAGTAAAAAAATCAAAGTAAGTGTGTAAAGTTTTCAATGAGTATAGTCTATTTCAACAGAGGTTAAAGTTATCAACTCACATTCAAAATGGGTCAAATTTTCTCACTGTACTTCTACGTTAAGTCCTGATCCAAAAATTCTTTTGCAAACTCTAGTGACACTTTTTTTCTGTTAAATATTTTCTTTCATTACGCTCCAGAATGAGGAAAGTAACTTTATTATTTACTAGAAGTATCACATTAATCGTTATTGAATACTGAAAACAGCTCTAATAAATTATTTTATTTCTTATATAAATTAGACCAATATTCACCAACATTTTATTTATTAGCTATTTTATTACAACGTATTGACTATCACTAGGGCCATTTTCAAGTCATATTGAGTCCTCCATTAAATTTCCATTATACAGTGTTGTATCAATTTTTCAGAGAAAATTAATACGACACTGTATAATGGAAATTTAATAGAGGACCCAATAGGACTTGAAAATGGCCCTAGTGATGGTCAAAACGTTGTCGTAATAAAATAGCTAATAAATAAAATGTTGGTGAAAAATGGCCTAATTTTTATAACAAATAAAACCTCACGACACCAATTTTAGGAATAATGAACAGAAGTAATAAATTATTTTTTATAGAAGGCAACTTATATTTTTTATTACGTCTATCTATTAATTTTGTGATTATTTTCCACAGGCTCCAAAACCCACATTTTTTATCTCTGTATATTATTCTAATAGGACTTGTTCCAGAATAAATTAAGTATTATTATATATTTTAAAAGTTGCTCAAGAACTGTTTTGCAGTTAAGAGGCAGCTTATATTTTCAGTAGTTGCCATTGCTTTAAGTTAAAACTAAAGAGGGGTACCTATTTATCTATTGTGTTCACCAAGGTTTAACTGCTTAGAAAAATGTAACAGCAAACAATACAGGGAACTTGTAACATTAGAAATTTTAAAATACCAAATATATCCAAATGAAAAATTTATGGTATCAAGCAATATTTACCATTGAGAAACAAGAAGAGTTAAAATATTCCTCAGAGGCCAACCAGGGTAATCCTTGTCTGAACTAGGATCGAGGAAACAGATGTACATACCCTTAATGGAGGCTATATAAACAAATAAAGGAAGAAATATAAATAGTTAATACAAGAAATGACATCACTTCTCATGACAATGAAATTGTTTACACTTATTCTGGAGACCGATATATTCCTTCAACGTCATACATTTTAACTTATCACTTCCCCTGATCACAGCGAAAACACTTTTGTTCTCATCAGATAACTCTTGATGAGACACTAGAAGATTGTCTATCTGAAATACGGAGAGTTTTTAAAAGAATTGACATAGACAATAAATAAATATCAGAGATTCCAAAAGCATCATGTACCTGTTCATCGGAAAAGACACTATTGAGCGGCTCGGGCTTAGTGAGTAGCTTGAAAGTCAGAGATGATAAAGCAGGAAACCCAAACCAATAAATGAACTCGAAGGTCTTCAAGTTCTGAAAGTTTGAATACATACATGAGTCGATAATAGAGATTAAAATATGGCACTAGTTCCACTTAGCTACTCCAAGACGGCAGCCAGGTTCAAGATCATACAGAGCACACTATTCCTAGATTCCCGATGAATGCTGAAAGCAGCCTGTTATTGATAATCCTGTTTACATCCATAAGATTGCCTTGACTTGCTACTATACAAATGCTGTTCAACTTTGGTGGATGGCACAAGAACGCGTACTACTATAAATGAAATCTGAGAAAGGCTAAGTGTGTCCAAAAGTAGGTGGAGGTGACCAGTCTGGTACGGCCCCGACTTCAATTGGAAAGGACTCATTGGGCGTTCGTCAATTCCTTTAGAATAAGTGACAGTGAGCTGAAGTCGAAAGCAGTTATGTAATCAAAAGATTTTATGGATGATAAATATTCAGGACAGTCATTATACATTTTTTTTATTTGTGCCGGCGTTTCGAAGGCGTACTTAAAAGCCTTCAGTGCTCGAACCACACCCTAATGATGACCCACATGTTTGGCTTTAAATGTCAGCACAAATAAAAAAAATTTTATAAGACTGCGTCCTAATATTTATCACCCATGATATGAAGAACAGTCGACTAGCTTCCTTCAATAATTAAAAATATTTTAACTAATAAAAATGTTCCTTCAATTATGATCTAAATAAAGGGAGGTTGTATCTTAAACATGACAACATTTGGCCATTCTCGTAATCCTATTTATAGCATGATCATCGATATTCCACCACTCCCACTAATAGATAAGCAGAAAACAGGCATTGAAAATTAAAATTAAAATGAAATTAACTTTTTCACTGATAAATTCAAAGAAATGGAGAAAATACTTTATTCCAATATTTCAACTATTATATAACAGTTTTTAGTGATGACCGTAATAAAGACAACACACTTCTTATTGCCAGAATTATTTCTCCCTTATTATGGCTACAAATTGGCAATAAGAAGTGATGTATAATATAGATTATTAAAGAAATTATACAAAAACAGAACAAAAAAAGAAATTTGTAGGAACTGAGATTTTCTTCTGTTTATTTTATGTTGATAAAAAAATAATACAATGTAAACTACAGGCCATCTTTGAGTAGTGAAATGGAACTAGTACTTAAAATATTTTTCAGTATTAAATGTAGTAAAAATATTTGGGAACAAGTCTGCTCAAATGATTTTTGACAAAATGCAGAATAATAAGGCAAAACTTACAGCAAAGGTTATAAGAACAAACTTAGTGAGGAGGCTGGGATTTTCAATCGCTTTTCCACTGTCAATGTCTTTTTTAATAAGTTTGCCATACTTTTCAATTATTAAATTCTTGTTACTGTCCTTCAACTTTGAAGCGGAGTTAAAATTTAACAAATACCCTGTAGCACTTAAGAATGAATTATTGTAACTCAAGCGTTTGTCACAAAGGTATTTTATGGTTGTGAACTGGTTTTTACCCAACTGCGATTCATACTCTCTGAAATAAAAAACTGTTATTATTCTCAACGGCTTTTTTAGTAAACACAAATCATGTTAATTGACAGGATTGAATGATAAACTATAGAATTTTAATATACGGACCTATTAAATGATGTACAGTCAACAATCAGACTACAGGTATTGGGTTGTAAATAAAAACCTCTTATTTCCCTTTCCTTTTCTTCCAATCGGTCCTCGTCAAGTTTCAATTGATAAAGTTTATGCCAGAAAGAAGAGTCAATTATGGAACTAAAACTGATATATTTCAGAGAGTTGTCTCCTTCCATTCCGAACCGGTGGCTAATGCAAATATTGTGGTGTCACAAATCGGGAATATCAACAAGTCGGAGCCAGCAAGGTTACGATATCTTTACAAAGAGCTCGAGGTTCAGCCCAGACCAAGAGAGCTCAACTTCGGAACGAAACTTATAAACCTGAAATTTTCAATGAATCTTTATCTCGACATTCTAAATGTTGTATAAAAATCTCATACAATCTCACATCAGCATTTCAATTTCAAAGGTCAAAAAAAAGGACAAAAATCTTTTCTTTTTATTTTAAAGGTGCGTTTAGACATTTTACTAACTACGGAAAATACAATTAACTTAACACGACATGATTTCTCTTGTTACCGAAAGTAGATAGAAAACATCAAAAACAAGAAACTTAAAAACTACCATAGGTAAAAAAAAACTAAGGTGTTTGTGTGTTTCAGACCAGTGAAGTGAAAACATCTACTAGGCGAGATTTTATTTTTTTTTTTTTAGTTACCAAATAATAATTTTATTGAAGAAACATAATACAATCTGCCAAAATCTAGAGCATTGAGATTTCTGGCTCTGTGTTTACATTCATACATTTTACAAACAAATTAAAATACAAAGTGAGAAAAAAAATTAAATAAGAAGAAAACATGTAAGTAAAAAAAGTATATATTACAATAAAAAAATCTGGTGCGGTGCGCTCATCACACAACTGTCACTTACCGCCCTCTTCTTAGCAGAAATACTTTTCGGAAAGTATTTTCAGACAAAGAGGAAGTGAAAGTAAAAATTATAGACACTATATTTATTTATATTTCATTGGGGGTATTTTTAATTGTACAAGTATCCTAATAGAGGGGCGGATCTATGGGGAGGGAGCTTTAGGGCTGAAGCCTCCCCCCTCCCAAAATGGTAAAATATAACCATGAAAAAAAATATTAAAAAATTATCTCTCAAAGTATTACTGTTCGTGTAATTACATTTAAAAGGGATTTAGTAATCAGTTAAACACCATTTCATATAGGTAGTTAGTTTCTATGTTTTTTTCCGAAGTAATTATCGTTATTTTTATTTTAAAAAACGCTTTCGAAGCCTCCCCCCCCTCAAAATTAAATACTAGATCCGTTAGTGCCCTAATATATACAAATTTTAATATATATATATATATATATATATATATATATATATATATATATATATATATATTATATATATATATATATATATATATATCGCAGTAATCTATAAAAATAATACCAACAATAGCATTTATGAAAACCACATATTTATATTTATATAATATTGTTGGAGCCCTTAAGTTCGTGTTACGTATGGAAGCGTGTACAAATCTTTCGAGCGAGCTATTCCTTTGATTCCTCAATTACAACTATTCTCCGTTAAGATACCTTATTTATCTTTTAGTTAATTATCAAATTCTTTCATATTTTATATTTAACTAACTTTTATATTAGAGATTAATGTGAAATGGTCAATTTTTTCAAATAAAAAAATTAAAGGTACTTTATGGCAAGCTAATATTGAAAATTAGCCATTTAAGCCGTGTTAGAGAACATCAATCGGAATAAAAACTACATTTTATTTAAAAATGTTTAATTTTACTCTGATATAAAGAATTTAATCAAAATCGTTAAAGCCGTTTTCGAGAAAATCGTAAAAATGTGTTTAGTCCATGACATAAAGTGCGACCTCCGGTTAGCCAATTTTGACGGAAAAGTTGCTATAACTTGTCTAGCTTATAAAATCCTTAAATGTGCAATTTCACTTTTGTTCGACTTTTCGTGTTTGAGCTAGACTGTTAACACAAACACACAGACCATTTTGCGGGACATGGTTATTTGGACTCAGTGGACTTCAGAACGCGTATTTCCGTTGAAAACTGAGATTCGAAAATTTGAAAAAGTGAAAGTAAAAAACTTGTAAAAAAAAGGACATTGAAAGAGCATTAAAGAAAGAAAAAAAAATACATTTATTTACAATAGGCACATGATTTTCAATCTTCGTTTGAATGATTTGAAAAAATTGTCTTTTGTTACTAGGCTTTTGCCTTAGTTGATTTTTTTTTATCAAGTTTTATTACACTTCGACTATCCAGCTTTAATAAAATGCCAAATATAATTAAATTAGACCAAATGCTGAATGTCAGTGACTAAAAACCTAACTTAAGTCAAATTTGTGACTATGCCAAGTTTAGATGCCATTTTGAGACAGTGAGATCTCTTTGTTTTTTTGGAACATTGTGTTTTTTTGTAATTAATAGATGTAAGGAACACAACAGTATACAATTTATAGGAATGCGGGAAGGAGAGGGGATGCAGGGTATCAGGTCTGGCCCACCATGGATAAGAACCAGAGAAAAATGAATTAAGTTACTCAACTTAAAAAAGAAAAATAAGAAAATCGAAATTGAATTTAAAACTTTCAGTTACCAACCTAATGAAGTATCTAAATTTTCGATAAAGTATGGATGGTTAAAATTGAATTATTTAATGCTTTCATCGAATCAAAATTTATCAAACTATACAGCTATAAATGTATATTTTCAGAAACACGACTTGAAATTTTTTCTGTGGCCTGCACTTTTGAAACCTCTCTCACTGAAAAGTAGGACGCTTCAATTAAAATCTTTATCATTGAAGTGACAGCGGGTCCAAAATTTAATTTTGAGAAGATTTTTTTTTAATCATAATGGTATTGACTTTGATCAAATCAGAAATAAACTATAGAAAATTATTTCATACTTTTTTTTTAAAGAAAATAATTACCCTTTCCACTTTATCAATTTATTTAAATATCATTACAGTAACGTTTCGAGCCCCATTGGCTCATTATCAAGCTATCTATAAATAAAAAAGAAAAAAGAAATGATTAAGAAATAATGATGGATATTTTTGTAAGTTACAATTTACTTTAAATTACATAATATTTTCTGATTTTGAACTGAAAATGTGGACAAATCTCATTTTTAGTTAAGTTGTTTTATCACATATTTTAAATTTTGGTAAATTCTCTCAATAATATTTCTTAATTTAAAACAAACTGTAACTAACAAAATCATTCATCATTATTTATTATTTATGTATCTATGTTTTATAAATGAAAGGCACTATAGGGTATTTTTTACTTTTGACTATGTTTTTATAGACAATTTATTCTGGTCGATGGTGTCTTATTTATATAATAAAAAAAACTTCTTCAACATTAATTTCATTGCCATGCAATGACATGAATGTATAACATGCATAATGCATGTATAACATGCATACATGCATACATTTAGAATGTATAACATGCATACATTTAGAATGTATAACATGCATAATGCATGTTAAACATTTGTCAGTTGTTTAAATCAATTTAAATTGTTTAAACTAAAAATCACTTTTTTCAATTATTTGAGATGGATATTTTTCACTGTTACCTTGTCTAGGATGTCTCTTCTTCATAATGTATTTTTTCTGTAAATACAGTTACAAAAAATCTATTTTATATTTTACCTTTGAAAATGCAAAATCTAAAAAATATATATATTATTTAGTATTTTAAATACTTCCCAGATCTGTTTCATATTATTCAATAAATGGTTTTTCCATGAAATAAATATTATTTTTCCATTTGTTGACTGATTTGCTTTACTTTAAGAATTATTGGCACGGCCCAACTCGTTATCATATTTTGCTATTTCTTGTAGGAGTTGGGCTGTTACATATTTGGTAATTTGAGCGAGGACCCAGGTAGGGAAGATAAGTGGCTGCTTCCATTGTCAACTCCATTACTACCTCTATGTAATCATAGCCCTCCGCCAACCTCTATGCATTTAGTTCTCATACATTTTAATATTTCGGGTCCTCTCTTATTTCAGGTACCAACTTACTTCAGCAAAAAAAATATCGGGGAGCTTCAGAGGGGTAACCTAAGTTTTTTTTTCAAATCGCTTAAGGTCAATTTGTTCTAATACATCTTATAAGGATTGGCCCTTAATAAATGTCTTCAACATATTGTCCTGAAGAGGACTTTAATGGCAAGACAAATGGACCATTTATTTTAAAATCAAGTCTGAAAAATACCTTATTAGGCCTCCACTAATACGATTTCGGGAGTTTGGCCCGGAACACACATAAAATAAAAAAAAAATAAAAAAATAAAAATTGGAAAACTGGCAGCATTGACCAAATTCGAAATTTCGATGACTTTAAAATATGTACAAATATGTTCATTAGGCACTGAAGGATATTATAGCATGTTTTCAAAAAATTCTAAGGTTTTTTTTTGTTTTTTTATTTATTGAGTATTACAACAATCTGCCACTTGGACACTAGTTATAGTGAGGTAGGATAACATTCACACTGTATGTACAAAAAATATAAAATAAATAGAAGAAAAATTACAATTAATAATAATCAAAAAGTATATACAATAAATAAAATAAAATAACCTAAGGATAAGAAAGTTAAAACTAAGCAAAAACACATGGATACCTATATACAATGAGGCGAGGGAACTCCAGGAGAACCCTTCGCTACTCTCCCAACCACATCACTGGTACTAAAGCCACTGGAGATTGATCGAGAGCACCAAGGGTTTTAATGGTAAAATTTTAAGGAATCTATTCAAAAGTAATGCGCTTTAATTTGTAGAGCTCAAAATTAGATGTTTTTAAAATCTTTTGCTACTCAATCATAATGTTATTAATTTTATATTTTAAATAGTTTAAGTAAGTACATTTATAAATAAGTACATTGTATTCAGATTTTTAAACGGAAATGAAAACAAAATCCAGATAACTAGTCTTATTAAATAATTTATTTTAAATTAAATTAATTAAATTTTTCATATAATAAATTTTAGAAATTCAACAATTACAAAAATTTATTGAAAAAGTGCTTCGAAAAATTGTAGTAAGATATTATGCGAATGTGATTCCCAAAAACATCCCATCCCAGAAGTTAATATTTGGCTCAGTTTAGAAGTTAATAGTTGAACTATTGTTTTTATAATTATTAATA